GGGTGGTGGGGCTGGTTTAAGCTTCTGGTTATACAATGGGAAAAGAATGAGATTAAGGAGAGGGTGTGTAGGCAGTACCTTGGGAGCAGCAGCAGCAGTCTTCCACAGAATGGCAGCGCATGCCTCAGGGCTGGGAGCAGTGGGCGGGTAGGGAAGGGAGAAAAGATGAGGAGGTGTGTGTGAGGGTGGGAGGAAAGCTTAAGGTGATTGAAACTGCAAGCTGCAGGACTGGAAGAGACGCGCAGAAGGAGCAGTGGGCGGGAGGGGTGGGCGGGGTGGATGAGTAGGTGTGTGTGAGGGTGGGAGGGAGGAAGCGGGATGTCCGTTACTGAGTCTTGCGTTATTCCGAGTCAAGGGTCTACTGGTTGTGCAAGTGACATTATTTTCGACAGTACATTCGCACATTCTCTCATTTTCATCCCCTCATTTGATTGCTCACTTGACCTCACCACCCAGTTCTCTCGAGTCTCCCTCACCTGGCAACATAGTACACCGCGTTTTCGAGCATGAGCATCTTATTGCAGCAGCCTATAGCGAGGGCGCCGCCCGACCCGCCCTCGCCAATGACGACCGAGATGGTGGGCACCGTGAGTCCAAACATCTCCCGCAGGTTGTGTGCAATGGCCTCGCCCTGTTGGAATTGGAGGGGCAAGCGAAGGGGGAGCAATGGGGAAGCGGAGGGGGATGGGGAGAGGCCAAAGCAACAGAGGTCCCCCCTGAGATGGTGGGCACCGTGAGTCCGAACATCTCCCTCAGGTTGTGTGCAATGGCCTCGCCCTGTTGGTAGGGGGGAGGTATGGACAGGGTGATGCGGGAGGGCCAGCGCAGCAGAGACCCGCCCTCGCCGATAACAACTGAGATGGTGGGCACCGTGAGTCCGAACATCTCCCTCAGGTTGTGCGCTGCGCTATGGCCTCGCCCTGTGGGGGGCGCGTGGGATGGGTGGGAGCAGCACGTGGGTGCATGGGTAGAAGGAAGGGGCCTCTTGAGATGGTGGGCACTGTGAGGCCAAACATCTCCCTCAGATTGTGCGCTATGGCCTCGCCCTGTGTGGCGGGAAGAACGTGGGTGAGTGGGAGCAGCACGTGGGTTCATGGATGGAAGGAAGGGGCAATGTGCGCACTGTGAGTCCGTTGTGCGCTATGTGGGGGGCCGTGGGATGGGGTGCGTGGGAGTAGCTCGTGGGTGCAATGAGCCCCCCATCCACTCATCCCCGCCCCGCTCATTTGCCCATCCGCTCATTTACTCACCAGCTCAGCACATCTGCTCATCTCCCCCATCCGCTGATTTGCCCATCCGCTCATCTCCACATTCGCTCATCTCCACATTCGCTCATCTCCCGCGTTCACTCTATCTCCCCAATCCCCTCAACCCTCCTCCCTCCACCCACCTGCCCCAGCTCCTCGGCCTGAATGCCAGCATACGCGCCAGGTGTGTCGATGAACATGACGATGGGGAACCCGTGCTGCTCCCACCTCCCAAACCCCCCAGATTCACCCTCCCTTCCCCATCCAATCTGCCCCTCACCCAGACATTCACCCACCTGCCCCAGCTCCTCCGCCTGAATGCCAGCATAAGCGCCAGGCGTGTCGATGAACATGACGATGGGGAAGCCGTGCTGCTCCGCGTGCCGCATCAGACGTAGCGCCTTGCGGTACCTGGGCGGGAGGGGAGCAAGGGGAGCGGAGTGCGGGGAGCAAGGGGAGCGGAGTGCGGGGAGCAAGGAGAGCGGAGTGCGGAGAGCAAGGGGAGCAGAGGAGGCGTTTGGGTCGACTCAGACATGACAATGGGACAGCCGTGGTGCTCCGCGTGCCGCATCAGCCGCAGCGTCTTGCGGTACCTGAGCGGGCGGGGGAAGGGGAAAGAGGGGGTGAGGAAAGAGGGGAGGGAGAGGGAGGAAACGGGGGAGGAGTGGGGTGAGGGTGGAAGTAGAAAACGAAGGCATTAATTTCAAGGACGTGTGTGAGCAGATGGAGTGTGATGTGTCACTGCAAGTGGCGCCTCAACAGGAAGAGCAACGTTTCATTGAATCAGCACTCACGCACTCACCTGCACTGGCGCGTTGGAAGAGCAGCATTCACGCACTCACCCGTTGGGCGAGGGCATGCCGAAGTTGCGGTAGATGTTTTCGTTAGTGTTGCGGCCCTTCTGGTGCCCCATGGACATTATAACCAGTGACGGATCATACCGTATCGTATCATATAATATCATAGCCAGCAGCGCCGCACACCCCCCATCCGTTCTCCACCCTCTCACCCGTTGGGTGAGGGCATGCCGAAGTTGCGGTAGATGTTTTCGTTGGTGTTGCGGCCCTTCTGGTGCCCCATGAACATGAAGCTCATGTCGTCGATGCGCCCCAGCCCGCACACCAGCGCTGGGTCGTCGTATCCGCCGCGGTCGCCGTGCAGCTCCACCCACTGCACGGTTGGGGGGTGGGGGGAAGCAGATTGGGAGTGCAAACAAATAAAGCATGCATCAACTGCAACCCAACCCAGCCCGCACACCAGCGCACTGCAGGGGGTTGCGGGCGGGCAGGTTGGGAAAACGCAGGTTCGGGACGAGCAGGTTAAGGCCACGCAGGTTGGGGCCACGCAGGTTGGGGAAAGCAGGTAAGGCACCAAGTCTTGAAAGAGGCAGCACGCCACCTTATCTCTCGTCTTACAGAACGTGATCTGTGAGTGGACTCAAAAATTAACATGAGTAACGTGAATCTACTGCAGGTCGTCTTGAGAGTGGTGCACTGCACGGTACCTTACCTGTGGTGTTCACGATGTGACTTGTGAGTGGACTCAAAACTCACCTAGAGTGGCGTGCTTCTCGTGCATGTCGTCTTGAAAGCGGCAGCACGGTACCTTATCTGTGATGTTCAAGATATGGTCGAGGAACGTTGGACGGTTGGGATGGCGCGCCACGCCCAGTCGTTGCACCGGGGTGAGGCGCAAGTAGATGTCGCGCTTCAGCTGCCATAAAACGCGATATCCGCAAGCACGTACATGCACATATATATATAAAATAATAATAAATAAAAACAGATACGTCAAGAGCACAAACAGAGGACGACGAATCAGACATGCAGGGCCTGTGCGGCTCTAACGGCGGCCGTATCTCAGCTCACACATAGGCGTGTTTTTCCTGTAGCTACACGTGGCCGCGTTTCTCCTGTGTCAGCTCACGAGGTGCAGCTCACGAGGTGCAGCTCACCTGGTCGTATTTCTCCTGCAGCTCGTGAATCTGCTCGGTGAAGTCCATCCCCGTTTTCGTCGCCAGATCACGAACCTGCGACGCAAACCATCAGACGGTGACGGTACGACAGAGCGTTACACGAAAATGCTTCATACTTGCAAGACGGCGTCGCTTCCACTAGGAACGGCTGAAGGTCGAGTCGGCGTCGTGGATTCCAAGGCCTTCTGTTTTTACACATTTTGTCGTTAGCAAGAGCATGTGTGAAGGCCCACATGCGAACGCGTCGAATGATACGATGCGACGCGATGCACTAAGCGGTACCATACTGTGCGATGCGACGCGGTGAAATACGGTGCGGTGCGATGCGGTGCCTGACCTCTTTAATCCGTTTCTCCAGGTCCTCCAGCGGCCGCTCGAACGGCAGCATCATGGGCTTGCCCTTCTTCTTCCCGGGGCTCTCCTTGCTCTTGGAGAAAAACGCGAGGAAACCCTTCTCCTCTGCGTGGTACTTGTCAGGCCACGGATAGTCCGGATCCATCGGCGCTCTCTTCGTTTTCCGTACGTTGTTACATTCTACAGTAAGTCGCCGGGAAGCTCCGCTTGGAATATCTTTTGCGAGGGATTTGGCTCGCGGAATATTGATCGAGGATGGTCTGGTGTGCAGTGATTGACCTAGAGATTCTCCAGATAAGCAACGGACGCCGGCGACCGTTCGGTTTAAGAGGCTCTGCGTTGGAGCGCACGCAGCCATGGCTTCCATCGTCCCTGAGCTCCGAGAATAGGCTATTGTTTTACACCGAGTATCAGGTTTCTTCAACCAAGACAATGCGAGACGTCGAAACGGCTGTTCTATATTCACTTTGCTCGGCTATTGAACAAGAACTTATTTAGCGAGTGACACACCCAACCAAGCTGGACACCAAGGAATCAACAGGAAAGAGGCAAAGCGAATCTCGAGAAGAGCGAACCGAGGAAACGAGGAGAAGCGGCCGTGATTTCAGCAGACTGAAATTTAGATAGGCGGTGAGTTTAGGAGGCAGGGGAATCGGGGATATTCCGAGGTCGAGGGGGATTAGTGCAAACATGGCGGTGGAGATGGACGGGGTGAGATGGAATACGGTGGGATGCTGGCAAAAGTGGTCACAGGTTGGAGATATCGAGGTTGGGGAGGTCAGCGAAGGGTACTTCAGGAGACAACGAGGTGAACGAGCGGTGGCGAACAGCTTAACGTAATAAGCGAACGGTTGAGCGATACTGACAGCGTGGTTACAGCACTTGAAAAGATCTGGCATGGATACGTGTGGAAAGGCACGTGAGTTGTCCCGAGTGACAAAGACCCAAGTGCATCGATGCCGTTCGTTCACCCTCGAACTTCTCTCATCGGGCTGACTCATCGGATAGCTCGTGTGACGGTGCGAAAAGTCTGTCGTACCCAGCGTGTGAACCTTTTCAAATGATGGAGGATGACACGCGGCAGCTCAGCGGCGCGCCAATTTCAGCCGAAAGATCTGTGATGGGATTCTGTATGAGGTGGGAAAGGAGTTTTATCGAGAGTCTGTGATATCAATAAAAGTCTGTAAAAGGCGTACACTTTCCCCTAACGGGAATGACCACAGCGGACCCAAGGCCCGCTTTATCGAAGCTGCGACTAGATTTGTTGTCCACATTGTTATCTCCGTAACACAACCTAAATGTGTATAATTGTTATATTCAGTTTTGTCTGAATGTTCGTGCTAGCACATTAGACCCGCTGGTGCGCCATTCACTTCCGAAGCCTGCACGCAAGAACCTTGGTAGTAATCCGCGTCTGCGCACCAATGGCGGAAGATATTTCAGCTCCGCCGCAAGGGGACGAGAGGGGGAGCGCGCAGGAGGGGGCGAACGTGCAGGGGGAAGCGCTTCCGCAGGGGGAAGCGCGCGCACAGGGGGAAACCGGGGGAAAGGGGGAAGCTGGGGGAGCGGAGCTGATGGACACCAGCGCTGCGCCGAAGCAGGGGCTGTCGCTCCTGCTGGCGTCAGCGGAGCTCATCAGCCAAGGCGCGGAAGCGGTACGCATACACGTTATAAGCAGCCTCGGTCACCGAGCATTCGAGTTCATTAGCGCACGGTGCTCAACAATTCCGTCAACGCGCTTAGAGCTGTGGTTGTCCGAGAGGAATTGGTTTTGGCCAGTGAAGTTGTCCGAGAGGAATGAAGAATCAGCAGAGCCGAAGTTGTGTTGTGACCAACCCCCGTCCGATGGGAGAGTCTCTACCTGCATTGTACCTCCACTCTCATCCCACCATCCAACCTCCGCACCAACCCATGAACCCATTACCCCCATCATCCAATCATCCCATCATCCAATCATCCCACCATCCAATCATCCCACCATCGCATCACCCCATCATCCAATCATCCCACCATCGCATCACCCCATCATCCAATCATCCCACCATCCAATCATCCCACCATCCAATCATCCCACCATCCAATCATCCCATCATCCAATCATCCCACCATCCAATCATCCCACCATCGCATCACCCCATCACGCCACCATCGCATCACCCCACCATCCAATCATCCCACCATCTCATCATCCCACCATCGCATCACCCCATCACGCCACCATCGCATCACCCCATCACGCCACCATCGCATCACCCCATCACGCCACCATCGCATCACCGCATGATCGCAGAGAGTGTTCGCAACGACGTTCTGCGGGCGGCCAGCGATACTCAAGCAGCGCTTTGAGAAGAAGTACCGCCACCCCACGCTCGACGCCCGACTCACCTCCAAGCGCCTACACACGGTGAGTGCTCCTCTCCAAGTGCTCCTCTCCTCCCACCTATCCTCTGTTGATGTTACTTTTGAGAATCCTCTCCTATGCCGTCCCCACTGTGATCTCCCCCGTGTACCTTGTTTTTCCTCTGCCTGCCAGCCAGTCTGTAGGGAGAAGGATAGGTATAGATGCACTGTCGTGCTCGTTCTTCTCTCTCTCCCTCACTCCCCCACCCTGATCTTAGGAGGCGAGGCGAGGAGCATGGTGCGGGCAGCGAGGCTGGGAGTGGCAGTGCCGGTGCTGTATGGAGTGGAGGAGGGGGAGCGGGACCAATATAGATGGACTGTCAATCCACCCTGTTCTCCCTCCCTCCCCCACCCTGATCCCAGGAGGCGAGGAACATGGTACGGGCAGCAAAACTAGGAGTGGCGGTGCCGGTGCTGTATGGAGTGGAGGAGGGGGAGCGGGACCAATATAGATGGACTGTCAATCCACCCTGTTCTCCCTCCCTCCCCCACCCTGATCCCAGGAGGCGAGGAACATGGTACGGGCAGCAAAACTAGGAGTGGCGGTGCCGGTGCTGTATGGAGTGGAGGAGGGGGAGCGGTGCATCGTGATGCAACGAGTGGGAGGGCGCAGCGTCAAGGACCTCCTCCTCTCCCTCGCGCACCACTCCCCTCTTGCTGATGCATGCACCACCTCCCTCACTGGAATGCCTCCCTCACTGGAACGGCCTCCCTCCCTCGGCCACTCCCCCCCTCCCTCCGTTCCCCCACTCCCCACGCTCCCTCCCCCGCCCCACTCCCAGGAGGCGAGGAACATGGTGCGCGCAGCGAGACTAGGAGTGGCGGTGCCGGTGCTGTACGGAGTGGAGGAGGGGGAGCGGTGCATCGTGATGCAACGAGTGGCAGGGCGCAGCGTGAAGGACCTCCTCCTCTCCCTCGCTCACCACTCTCCCACTGCTGCTGCTGCTGCTGCTGCTGCTTCAGCTGCTGCTACCAGCTCAGACTCACCAGTCAGTACAGACACAGACACAGGCACAGGCACAGGAACAGGAACAGGAACAGGAGTTGGCGCAGGCTCAGGCACGGTTGAGGATAGGGCGGGGGGCAAGGGATTACATCCACGGGTGGAGGAGGTGGCGGCGTGGATGGGCGAGGCGATAGCAAAGCTGCATGACGGCGGCATGGTGCATGGCGATCTCACCACCTCCAACATGCTGCTCTCGCCCCTCCCCCCTTCCACTGCTGCTGCTGGTTGTGCTGCACCTTCAGCACTTGAGGCGCCTCAAGGGGCGATAGCAAAGCTGCATGATGGTGGCATGGTGCATGGCGACCTCACCACCTCCAACATGCTGCTCTCGCCCCTCCCTGCTGCTGGATCTGTGGCTTCACCAACAGCAGCAGCAACAGGAACCCCAGCAGCAGCAGCAGTGTCATCTGAAGCAGGAGCAGCGGCAGGAGGGGCAGCTGGGGCATTGTCATTGCAAGCAGCAGCAGTGGGGGCAGGGAGGGAGCGCGTGGTGGTGATAGACTTTGGGCTGAGTTTCAACTCAACCATAGCGGAGGACAAGGCTGTGGACCTCTACGTGCTTGAGCGGGCACTCATCTCCTTGCACTCCAGCAACGGGGATATTGTACGTACTCCAGGGGTAGCGGGGGTAGTGGGGGCAGTGGGGGCAGGGAGGGAGCGCGTGGTGGTGATAGACTTTGGGCTGAGTTTCAACTCCACCATAGCGGAGGACAAGGCAGTGGACCTCTACGTGCTCGAGCGGGCACTCATCTCATTGCACTCCAGCAACGGGGATATTGTGCGTACTTACCCTGCGCACTTCACATCACACGCCAACCACTTGCAAGCCAGCCTGCCTTTCCTTTTTTCTCCCCGCGCTGCTCCAAACTTGGCCTTCCTTCTTCCCCTGTGCCCTCTCCCCCTCCCAGTGTCTTGTTCTGTTTTACGTGCGTTTTCTTCCCTGGCTTTGACTCTTGCATCGCTCTTGACAGTAAGCTCCCCCGTTGTCTTCCTGCTTGTTAATTCATCTTATCCATCTGTGACATCAGATGTCGGCGGTGTTAACATCGTATCGCCACCATTCACGGTTCTGGAGCGCCACACTGAACAAGCTGGGGCAAGGTGAGACACAATCTTCCCTCGCCCCCCAGCTAGTGGGATTTTCTAGTTGACTCGAAAGTCGCTTTTGGAGCGCCACTCTCAACAAGCTGGGGCAAGGTGAGACACACACAAACAATCTTTCCTCCTCGGCCAGGCTATGTTTGAGGCACCTAGGAAACAGAGTGTTATCCTTGATTGTTCGTACCCACCCGAGCTTTATGCTCGTGCTGCAGACACTGATGCATGCCTTCTTACACTTGCTCCCCTTTGCTCATCTCGTTCAACGTAACAAGTGATGGGAATATCTCTTACATGGATGATTTACATAAGGTGGTCCGGTCCCTGGCAAACCTCGTGGTTTTCTTTTCACTAATGATAGGTGTTTTGCCCTTTTCTCCTGCCTAACCCGCCGTTCCAGTTCGACAACGAGGGAGGAAAAGAGCCATGGTTGGGTGAAGAGAGCAGGCTCAAATTGAATGTAGGTAAAACAATTTTTCTGACATACAGTATCTCACATTAACTGCAACTGATGCACTAAATAAGAAGTGAACGTTGAGAGTTCTCCTTGTGCTATATGCACACCTGTTCCTGTTTTGATCCCGCCATCAATACAATTAGACAAGTGAACGAACAGTGGAGCTATAGTACAGAAATAATCTCGAATATTATAGGGGTGGAATAAATCGTGTAGTAATCTTTCATCCTATAATTGGACCGTCCTATGCGAAGCACCTTCACGGGTCAATAAGCACATCGGCTGACACGTCAACCGAGTCGCACACGCAAACTCCTTACAGCGCGTACAATCAGCTGGCCTGGATTATGTATGTCGAGAGCAGGAGAGCGCGAGAGGACCATTGTGGTGCGAGAGTCATCGGTATTACCGGTACTGGTGGTTAGTTAGTTACTATTACCCATATGCGATCAGCCTCTAGTGTGCAACACTTGCTTCCGTTATAGGTAGACCCATCTAATATTATATGTGATTTGGTTCGAAGCCGCTCTCGAATCATGCTAGGCCACGTGGCAGCAAGACAGCGGGAGCTGTACCGCGCCGCGCATCTCGCCGCTCCAGCCGCTGCTGCCGCCGTTGCGCTGCTGCGACACACCAAGCTGCTCGCGTCACCGTCCTTGTCCTCGCCACTTATCGCGCCGCGAGATACCGCGCCTCGTTCTCCATCATCGAAGCTGTCCGTATTCAACGGACCGTACGGCGCTGCCTCTCCCGCATCTCCCGCAGCTGCTCGTGCCGAATCGAGCGCGATTAACGGCGCGATAAACGGCGCAATCAATGGCGCAATTAACGGGGCAGTGAGCAGCCCGATCGACGGGTCTCTTAAGAGATTGTTCTCAAGTTTAACTCCGAGGCGCGCTCTCTCTCCTACCATCTCCCACCGCACACCTGCCTCCACGTCATCATCCACAGCATCAGCCACGTCATTCTTGCCGCTGATTGGTCCCAGCAACCGCGCCTTCCACAGTAGCATCCCCACCGCTCGCAACGGCTGGGGCTTCGGATCTGACGACACGTGGCAGAATCTAGGAACATCTTCATCCTCGCTAACCAATTGGGGCGTGCGAATCGTCCCCGAGAAGAGCGCCTTCGTTATAGAGCGATTCGGGAAATACTACAAGACCCTAGGTTCCGGTATCCACCTCTTAATTCCGTTAGTAGACCGAATCGCGTACGTGCACTCGCTGAAAGAGGAGGCGATTCCGATTCCGAACCAATCGGCGATCACCAAGGACAACGTCAGCATTCAGATCGACGGCGTTCTGTACGTCCGGGTGAGTGAGTGGTCATCACATTAACCATTCAGGTGTTCTGTCGCGTCCTCCGCATGATCATGTCATGCGGATGATGGTGAAGCTATCACGGTGTTAGCAGTGATTGTTGTCATCATGGTTCACCAATCCGCTGGTATGGTATCGTCATGTCGCTTTCTGAATTGTGTGACTCGTGTGTAATCACATACGAGTTCCTTCCCCTGGAATGTCGCTTTCCCTGGATTGTCATTCGCCGAGACCCGTGTCACACCATTGAATTGTCGCCTTTATGCTTTGTGTGGGCATAGAGAGTCATTCCCTCCTTCCCCAAACTTCTCTTCCTCCCCCCACACAACACTCTCAACCCCTCCCTTATCCTCCTCCCCTGCTCTGTTTGACCTACCTGCCTGGTGGCACATCCTCCACCGTCAGATCGTGGATCCGGTGCAGGCATCGTACGGTGTGGAGCGGCCGCTGTATGCGGTGGTGCAGCTGGCACAGACGACCATGCGCAGTGAGCTGGGGAAGATCACCCTTGATAACACATTCGAGGAACGAGACATTCTCAACACCAACATTGTGGTATGGCTGGGAGAGGTGCATGCCGGGAGTGGCATGAGCTGGGACAGGTGTGTGCGTGGTGTGCGGTGGTGCAGCTGGCACAGACGACCATGCGCAGCGAGCTGGGGAAGATCACCCTTGACAACACGTTCGAGGAGCGCGATATCCTGAACACCAATATCGTGGTATGAAGCTTGTCAGTGTGCTGCATACCAGGGTAGTGGGTGTGTGCATGTGCAGCAGTGCAGCGACCTGGGGAAGATCACCCTCGATAACACGTTTGAGGAGCGCGATATTTTCAACACTAATATTGTGGTGCGTGCTGTAAGGGGTTAGTGGCTGTGTGGGTGTGTGGGTGTGTGGGTGTGTGGGTGTGTGGCTGTGTGGGTGTGTGGCTGTGTGGGTGTGTGGCTGTGTGGGTGTGTGGCTGTGTGGGTGTGTGGCTGCGTGGCTGTATGCGGTGGTGCAGCTGGCAGCATGTGACCATGCGCAGCGAGCTGGGGAAGATTACCCTCTATAACACGTTCGAGGAGCGCGATATTCTCAATACCAACATTGTGGTGCGTGTGTGACGAGTTTGTGATGAGGGTTGTCAGCATGTACAAGGCAGTGCAGCGAGCTGGGGATGATCACCCTGGATAACGAGTGGTATGGCTGGGAGTGGTGCATGCCGGGAGTGGTATGTGCATGCAACGATGCGCAACGAGCTGGGGAAGATAACCCTGGGCTCGACAACACCTTATGTGTAGATTCTTCACCATATTGCGTGTTTCCCTTGCTGCTTGTTTGTGTGTGTGTGTGTGCGTGTGTGTGTGTGTGCGTGTGTGCGTGTGTGCGTGTTTGTGTGTGTGTGTGTGCGTGTGCATGCTCGTTTCTGGGCAGAGGGCAATCAACGAAGCTGGTCAGGCATGGGGCATTGAGTGCCTAAGATACGAGATCCGTACGTACCACTTGCACATGCACGCAGCCCTTCCTTCTCTTCCTTCCGTCCGTTGTTTCTTCCTTCCGTTTCTTCTTTCCTAAATAGAGAGAGAGACCTTGCTAGCTGGATTGTTGTGTCATCATTGTTTCCCACATTTGACCCTTCATGTCCTTACCTCGGAGGCTCGGCCCATGGTGCATGGTACCTTCTCGCCCTTGTGCGTGCCGCAGGTGACATCTCGCCTCCTCCGGGCGTGCGAGCGGCCATGGAGATGCAGGCTGAGGCGGAGAGGCGGAGGCGTGCGCAAGTGCTCGAGTCTGAGGGTGAGTGGCGTTGCTGTTGCTATGGCTGTTGACTTGACACCATTGTTGAGAGGGTGATTGGAGGAGTCATAGGGTGAGTGGCGCTGCTGCTGCTGCTGCTGCTGCTGCTGACACCCTTGTTTTGAAAATCCTTGTGCTTCGTTTTGAAAGGTATGACTGCCATGCTGCTTCACTCCTCAATCTTCTCCATGTTGTCTCGTTTCTTCTCTCATTCCACTCCACCCCGCTCCCGTCCCCATCTCGCCCTGTCCTCGCTCCTCTTGCTTGTTGCCCACATCCATGCATTCCTCTCCCCCCTCCTCTTTCCCCTTTCCCATCCCCTCCACCTCCCCCTTCCCTCATCTCCTCCCTTCCCATTCCACTCCCGCTTCCCCTACCCCTCCCCTTCCCTGTCCCCCTCCTGGCCCCATCAGGTGACAGGCAGGCGAACATTAACATGGCCGAGGGGCGCAAGACTGCAGTCATCCTCGAATCAGAGGCCGCCATGTCAGACCAAATGAACCGAGCCAAGGGTACATGGCTCGGGCACCAAAGCTCTAGGCTCGGGGAAATGATCACCAATGCTCTTTTGACGTCGCAGAACCAGAGATGCTTTATTCTTCTCTGCCTTCCCCCATACTCTCTTCCTTCGCTCGTCCAAATTCCCTTTTCCATTCACGCTTGACCTGCTGTGTGCTCTTTCACTGTCCGGCTTTTGAGTCGACTCAAAACTGTTTTTGAGTCGACTCAAAAGCAGACTCTTACGTCGCTCGTCCAAATTCCTTTCTCCCTTTACGCATGGCCTGCAGTGCCCTTTTTCACTCACTGTCCGGCTTCTCTCTCCCCTTCGCCCTCCCATGTGCTTCTCTCTCCCCTTCGCCCTCCCATGTGCTTCTCTCTCCCCTTCGCCCTCCCATGTGCTTCTCTTCCCCTGCCCTCCCCTGCCCCGCCCGCACGCCCTGCAGGAGAGGCGGAGGCGATAGTGGCAAGGGCGAGGGCATCAGCGGAGGGCATTGATATGCTGGCCAGAGCGCTCATGGCTGAAGGGGCAAGCCAGGTGTGTGTGGATTATGGGTGTAACGTGGTTTGAGGTCTGTGAGATCTATCCAAGGGACTCACTGGCTATGTTGCGAAAGACACGTCCTGCGTCCTGGACGCATGCGTCCAGACGCAGGACGCAGCACCAGGACCAGAAAGTCGCACCAAAAGACGCAAGCCCGGGCAGGGCAAAAAAACCCCCGGGCAGGCAAAAAAAATGTTTTAGGGCATGGGAAGAGGGGAGGGGGGGGGGGGGGGGGGGGGGGGGGGGGGGGGGGGGGGGGGGGGGGGGGGGGGGGGGGGGGGGGGGGGGGGGGGGGGGGGGGGGGGGGGGGGGGAGGGACGTTCCACACTTTCAAGGTAAATTTGGCCCCAACAACAATTTTTTCCCCCAAAACTCAAGATTAAGGTGAGGAAGCCATAACGGAGTTAAGCTAGTAAGCTAAAACCTCTAGGGTTTTCGAAAGAGAATTGGGTGGGTGGGTAAAATGAGAAACCACAAATGACTTCGTTGCATTGCTAAATGGGCTTGGTGGTGGGCCACAAAGGTTGGGTTTTCTAGATGTGAAGTGGTTGAGAGGTTTGAGAAATTCAAGTTTGCATGAAGGGTTATGAAATGTTGAGGGGGCTGTTTTAGAATGTCGATTTGGGCAAGGGGGGGTCGAAATTTCGCGATTTCGACATTCGCGTCGAAATCGCGAATGTGAATTTCGAGATCGGGAATTTTTTTTTCGGGCAGCCCGAAAAAAAAATCGATGTGCGTCCTGCGTCTGGACGCGCGTCCTGCGTCCAAGCGTCCAGACGCTGCGTCCAGACGCAGGACGCAGCGTCCTCCCTGCGTCTTTCTCAAAGTGAGTCACTGGACATCAGGCGAGGGCATCAGCGGAGGGCATTGATATGCTGGCCAGGGCGCTCATGGCTGAAGGGACAAGCCAGGTGTGTGTGGATTATGGGTGTAACGTGGTTTGAGGTCTGTGAGATCGATCCAAGGGACTCACTGGACATCAGGCGAGGGCATCAGCGGAGGGCATTGATATGCTGGCCAGGGCGCTCATGGCTGAAGGGACAAGCCAGGTGTGTGTGGATTATGGGTGTAACGTGGTTTGAGGTCTGTGAGATCGATCCAAGGGACTCACTGGACATCAGGCGAGGGCATCAGCGGAGTGCATTGATGTGCTGGCCAGGGCGCTTATGGTTGAAGGCGCCACGCAGGTGTGTGTGGCAGAGGCATGAAGGAAGAGCGTATGATTTGCTTGTTGGGGGTGTGGTATTCCCCTCTCCTTCCCCTCTGTCCCTTTTGAGAATCCAAAAGTTCGGATCGAAATCTCCTCCGTCGTCCCTGCCATTCCGCTGCCTTTGAGTGACAGAGCAGTACGTGGGAGTGCTGGCAAATCTGGCCAAGGAGCCAAGTCTTTTCGCAAATCTGGCCAAGGAGCCAAGTCTTTTCGCAAATCTGGCCAAGGAGCCAAGTCTTTTCGCAAATCTGGCCACGGAGCCAAGTCTTTTCGCAAATCTGGCCACGGAGCCAAGTCTTTTCGCGATATTTTCAAGCTCATATTTTTTCCCTCTTCCTCCTTCCCTCCCCCCCATCCCCATTGCTGCCAACCAACCCCCTCCGGCTGCAAGTCTGCGGGTGGCAGAGCAGTATGTGGCAGCGCTGGCAAACCAGGCGGCAAAGCAGGGAACCATGGCAGTCGGTGACATCCCTTATCCATTTCCCCCTTTCATCCCTTCATCCTGCAATCCCCCCCCCCCCCCTGCATTCAGGCCGCAAGTGTGTGAGTGGCAGAGCAGTACGTGGCAGCGCTGGCGAACCTGGCCAAGCAGGGAAGCACAGCAGCTGGTGACATTCTTGATTTGATTTCATCCTTTTCCAATTTCCCCTTTTCATCCTGGGTTGTCTTTCCCCTTAACACAGGCCGCAAGCCTGCGAGTGGCAGAGAATACGTGGCAGCGCTGGCGAATCTGGCCAAGCAGGGAAGCACATCAGGTGGTGACATCCTCAAGCTCATCCCTCCTTGTCCTCTCTTACCTCCCCACCCACCCCACCCCTCCCATCCCAACCACCACCCCTAACAACAGGCTGCAAGCCTGCGAGTGGCAGAGCAGTACGTGGCAGCGCTGGCGAATCTGGCGAAGCAGGGAACGACAGTGCTGCTGCCGAGCAACGTGGGCGACCCCTCCTCCATGGTGGCGCAAGCACTCGCCATCTATAAGACCGTATCTGGCTCCCCTGCAGGTGTGACTGTACCGAGCACCCCTACAGGCGTAACTGTATCCGGTGATGCTGTAACAGGTGCAGCAGCCACTGGTGCAAGTGAGCCGAGGAAAGCTGGGCCCTTCAGCTCGCAGGAGAGGGATCGAGAGATGGTGACTGCGAGCAGGACGAGTGGCAGCGAGGTGGTGAATGGTGGTGGTGGTGGTGGTTATTTCGGTGGTGGTGATGGTGCTGGTGGGTCCGGTAGGAAAGGGACCGGCTTCTCATTGCAAGCACCGCCAAAGTGAAGACGGAAGTATGGAAGATTGGGCAGTGTATGTGAATGACATGTTCATGTGAAGGATACAATTTCAATTGAGCTTGTTAATAGCTTTTTGCTTTGGAGCCTCCATGATCCTAATAGAGTTGTACCCTTTTAAAACGTTGTGTTAATAGGTTGTAAACCTAGAAAGCCATGTGGTATAACCATTATGGAGGCCTTGGAGAGTACAACCAGAGCGAGAGAAAGCTGCTTAGTTGAGGTGAGACAAATAGGTAGCTGCCTGAGCAACTAGCGACTCCAAGAATAGTAAAAGGGCGGCTTGAGAGGTAGGAACGCCTTGAAACTGTTGACTTGCTAACAAATGGCGGCTAGACCGAACTATTGCTCCATAAGTGGCTGCTCGGAAATTATAAAATCTGGTGAACTGGCTTCCTCTCCACACCGTAGAGGCAACTGTGATTTTTGGCGCGAAACAATGCTGTCTATACTTTTCAAGTGTAGTGGTTCAAAAGCAGCAGCCAATCGCGCACAGCACAGAGCCGTGGCGACGAAGCACTTACAAATCGCTAAACCTCGTCCAGCTCGTGCAGAGCTTCGCGAACGAAATCGCAGACGCACGTCCTCCCCGCCGTTTCGCCACCAACCAAATCCTCATCATCCCATCACCAATATTTTAACTCAGCTGCCCGACCCTTGTTTGAACATTCAAATTCTGATCTGCGCGGCTGTCTGGGCCTTGGGAACTCAATTCAGGGACAAGTTCCTGCCCGAGGTTCATGGTTCATGGCTCACTCTGCTCGGTGTTGGTCTGATCCCTGAGGTTACCTCCTCTTGCAATTCTGGAGGCTGGTTAAAGCTTTTGTATACATTTGAAAGTACTGTTGCGGTTTGAACAGTGTCCAAAAAGATGTCGCCACAACGAGATCGAATGAGCTTGGCGAGAGGTTGGCGAAAATTTGAAGCGTCCAGTGAGGGTTGCGTTGTCAGGGCATAAACACCCTCCCGTCACCCAAACTACAAAATGGTGCTCACTGATACAAAAACAAGTCGCGATGTTACTAACGGGGCTGCGATAGAACTACACGGGAGGCGACGAGGCAGTGACTGGAACAGCGCAACCACTTACACAGTCGCTGGTGTTAGATTGCACACGTAGTCACGACAAGGACCGTCTAGTGCCCGCCAACTCCCTTCAGCTCCAGCGCCGTCTGGATCATTCAATAGCATTAGGCGGGTTCGCCGCGATCCATTCGTTGTCCTCGCCAAGTAATTCTCGCCGAACAAGCAGCTCGCGACACCCTCTTAGCACGTCACCTGCTTCTCGCCTACCCCGCTGCGCGCCTCACCAGCTTACAGCTTAGCGCCTCACCCGCGGCTCGCCTCACCCGATGCTAACATCACCCGCTGCTCGCATCACCCGCTGCTCGCATCACCCGCTGCTCGCATCACCCGCTGCTCGCATCGCCCGCTGCTCGCATCACCCGCTGCTCGCATCGCCCGCTGCTCGCATCACGCGCTGCGCGCCTCACCCGCGACTCGCCTCACGGGCTGCGTGCCTCACGCGCTGCGCGCCTCACTCGTTGCGCGCCTTACGCGCTGCTCGCCTCACACGCTGCTCGTCTCACGCGCTGCTCGCCTCACACGCTGCTCGTCTCACGCGCTGCTCGCCTCACAAGCCACTTCGTTCGTCAAAACGTCTCGCTTTCATCGGGACCGCCTTCTCTCGTTCGTCCCCCTCATTTCCCCCCTTCTCCCTCTCATTTCCCGACCTGGTCCCCCTGATTTCACCCACTTCTCTCTCTCATTTCCCCCCTTTCTCCCTCTTATTACCCTCCCTTCTCCCTTTAATCTCCCCCTTTCTCCCCCTCATTTCCCCCCCTTCTCCCTCTCATGTTCCTCCCTTTTCCCTCTCATTTCCCTCCTCCTCCCTCTCATTAACCCCCCTTCTCTCTCTCATTTCCCCCCCTTCTCCCCCTCTCAAATTCCCCCCGACTCGCTCTCAAATCCCCCTCTTATCCCTCTCACCCCCCCCCCTTCACCCCCTCATCCCCCCCCCCCTTCTCGCCCTCATTTTCCCCCCTACTCCCTCTCACTTCCACCCTTGCTCCCTCTCATTTCCCCCCTTGCTCCCTCTCAGCTCCCCCCCTACTCACCATCATTCCCCCTCCTGCTCCCTCTCATTCCCCCCCCCTTCTCCCCCACATATCCCCTCTTCTCGTTCTTAATCCCCCCCTCATCCCTCTCATCCCCTCCCCCCTTCTCCCTCTCATTTCCCCCTCTTCTCCCCCTCATTTTCCCCCCTTCTCCCCCTCATTTCCCCCCCTTCTCAACTCTCCTTTCCCCCCTTGCTCCATCTCATTTTGTCCCCATTCCCCCTCTCAAATCCCCCCCTTCTAGCTCTCAAATCCCCCTTTTCTCCCTCTCTTCCCCCCCCCCTCTTCTCCCTCTCATTTCCCCCCTTGCTCCCTCTCATCCCCCCCCCCCCTTCTCGCCCTCAGTTCTCCCCCTGCTCCCCCTCACTTACCCCCCTTCTCCCTCTCACTTCGCCCTCTTCCCACCCTCATTCCCGCCCTTCTCCCTATCATTTTCCCCCCTACTCCCTTTCATTTCCCCCTTGCTCACCATCGTTTCCCCCTTCTCCCTCTCAGTTCCCCTGCTTCCCTCTCATTTCCCCCCTTCAACCGTTCATTTTCCCCCCTTCTCCCCTTCTTCCCCCCTCCTTGCTCCCCCTCCTTACAGGGTGGTTCCATTGTTCGTGATGGCCCCCACTCCCTCCTTTCCATTCTCCCTTCCACGCTCTCCCATCTCCATGCCCACCTTCCGATGCCCACACCCATCCCCACCCCTCTCATGCCCACCCTTTCCTTGCTCCGCACCTGTTTTTTTGGCTCAGGCACAAATGCGGCCACTCGTGCACCTCTCTCTTTGCGCCTACTTCTTCTGTCCCTACCCCTACTGTCACTGCTGCTGCCATTGCCGGAGCTGCCCCTGCTGCCTCTGCCAGTGTTCCTTCCTCAGGCACAAGACCCCCACAACCTCTATCCCAATCCCCCCACTCCTCTCACTAGCAGGTCCACCAAGCGGCCCACACTCTCGCTCCCCTCTGCTACACACCAATGCCAGGCATGCGACAGCAAACCCTACAGCACGTGCGGCATCTTGCTTAGTTGACGGCTTCTAATTGTGATTCAACCCCCATGCATACACTTCCAATTGTGTGTTGTCGAGCTCGCTTAGCCGTACGATATTAGGAACTTTTATGAGTTTCATTGTCCATTTAGGTATCTGCACTTCAACAAGTTTGGTGTAACGATTTCTCATTTCCCATTACACTAAATACATAAAAAGAATTATTTGGAAACCCATTTTCCAGAGTAAAAGCTGGGGACGTCAATAGAGGATGCTCAGGATGCAGAGAACGATGAGAAGGGTACGGGAGGGCCAGGATGGGATGGAGTGGGTGTGAACGTCACGCAAATAAGGAGATCGGCAGTACAGGGAGGAGGGCATTAGGGGGAATGCATACGATTCAACACACCCTCTAGATATTTTATTGCCGGGGTGGGAGGGACTGAAAGAGGATCGAAGGGGCTGGAAGGGGATGGGATGAGAGGGGTTTGAAGGGGATGGGATGAGAGGGGTTTGAAGGGGATGGGATGAGAAGGGCTGGAAGGGGATGGGATGAGAGGGGTTTGAAGGGGATGGGATGAGAGGGGTTTGAAGGGGATGGGATGAGAGGGGTTTGAAGGGGATGGGATGAGAAGGGCTGGAAGGGGATGGGATGAGAGGGGTTTGAAGGGGATGGGATGAGAGGGGTTTGAAGGGGATGGGATGAGAGGGGTTTGAAGGGGATGGGATGAGAGGGGTTTGAAGGGGATGGGATGAGAAGGGCTGGAAGGGGATGGGATGAGAGGGGTTTGAAGGGGATGGGATGAGAGGGGTTTGAAGGGGATGGGATGAGAGGGGTTTGAAGGGGATGGGATGAGAGGGGTTTGAAGGGGATGGGATGAGAGGGGTTTGAAGGGGATGGGATGAGAAGGGCTGGAAGGGGATGGGATGAGAGGGGTTTGAAGGGGATGGGATGAGAGGGGTTTGAAGGGGATGGGATGAGAGGTGATGCTAAGGCAAGGAAGAGAGATGAATAGGTAGGGATAGCTGATGCATAGGTAGGGAAAGGAGATGCATAGGAGGTGGAAGGACGAAAATGGTTCAAAGAAATGAGTGATGGGGAGGCGGGAAGGGGAGATGGGGAGCGGGATGGGGAAACGGGGAGGCGGGAAGGGGTAATGGGGAGCGGGAAGGGGAAGCAGGGAGGTGGGAATGAGTAATGGGGAGGCGGGAAGGGGAAATGAGGCGGCGGGAAGGGGAAATGGGGAGCTGGAAGGGGAAACGGGAGGCGGGAAGGGGAATTGGGGAGGCGGGAAGGGGAAACGGGGAGGCGGGAAGGGGTAATGGGGAGCAGGAAGGGGAATTAGGGAGGCGGGAAGGGGAAACGGGGAGGCGGGAAGGGGTAATGGGGAGCGGAAAGGGGAAACGGGGAGGCGGGAAGGGGTAATGGGGAGCGGAAAGGGGAAACGGGGAGGCGGGAAGGGGTAATGGGGAGCGGAAAGGGGAAACGGGGAGGCGGGAACGCGAATTCGGGTGGCGAGAAGGGGAAACGAGGAGGCGGGATGGTGTTGGGAGCTCCCGTTTCTGCAGTCGTTCGCGACCTCAAGTGCGGCTGCCGGGGCTAGTGCGGAAACGTGGTAGCGAGGCTGTGCGATCGAGCCGCGACTGTGATCGTCCGTGTTCGGCAGTTTGAGACGACGCGACGGACGGGGAGGCGAGGCCATGAGGGAAGGTCCGGCGGGATCGCCGCGTGAGAGGGCGAAACTGAAGTTGGCTTATCCCTATAATTTTACTAAAATGCCCTACGCGTCTAGGTTTGTGTCAGAAACGGGGGTAATTTACGCTGGCGGTTGAGTCGCGTGCTTAGCTACGTATTATGCTGCCTGTAGAGCCTAGTGGCGTAGATCTCACAAAGGTTGGATTTCGTATACTTTTGTCGACCCAAAAGTTTTGAATCACCTGTGAGTGCTGGGAGTCGGGGAGATATCCCTCCCTTGTAGAGCGAGTGAACTGGCTGTAATAGGGTTACCAATCTTTCAAATTTCAAAACTTTTGAACCTCCCTCTTTCAAATGTATACAAAAGCTTTAAAGTCAGGCGGAGGAATGTTGTTGGTTTCCCCCGTTCCTAGAACATGCTGTGTTCTTTTCCCAGATGGTCGCTTGTCAGGCGGTAGTTATTTTCTTCAACGAGGCGTGATGTTTTTCGATAAGTGTAACTTAGTATGTTTAAAATCTAGAGCACTGTGCTTCGTGTAAGAGTAACTCGATGGCGTCTAAGGCGACGCCGATCGACCATTCGAGCTACGTAGGTCGGAAAGTGAAGAAGGATTTCGGAGTACACGGTTGGTTTACGGGTCGAGTCGAATCGTACGATGCCGACGAGAATTTCTTTCTGATCAAATACGAAGACGGCGATTGCGAGGAGGTGGAGTTACAGGAGCTCGAAGGGATCATTGTTAAACGAGGGAGACCGAAGCGTAACTCTAATCCTCCCTTACCGCCTGCATCAGGAGGATCTCATAGCTTAGACTCCACGCCGCTTCTTGCAATTAAACGTTCTCTCGCAGGTAAGCATACTCCCGTGGCGAAAGATACCCCCGCAGCTGATCAAACCCCTGCATCGATTTCTTCCAAGAGAAAACAACCGGCTCCTGCTGCATGGCGTCACTCGACTGATTCTGCCGCGGACAGAACGTCGGTCGAGTCAAGCCAGGCAGTTTTAGATGGTACAGCTACCGTTAAGTTGCCGTTTTCAGCGGAAGCCGTTTTACAGAAAGGCAAGACGAACGCGGCCCTCTCCTCCGAGACTGTTGATTTAGGATCAGCCGACGCGTCCGCGGCTGCGTCAGGGGTTCCTTGGGGAAAGCCCGTGCTTTCAGTTAGAGATGCCATTAATCAAGCACGCGCCGCTAAGAGCCAGTTGAAGCAGCACGCGCAGAGCAAGACCGGGCGGAAGGCCCCCAAGGCCAATAGAAGAAAGACCCGCGGATCCTCGCATGCTTCTGGGTGGGATACCGACAGCGATGGCCAGGGGGAGGCGGAGGAGGTGGAGGATGCGGAGGCGGAGGAGGAGGACGGGGATGTAGAGGCGCAGGAGGAAGGGGTTGCTAGAGGGGATTTGATTTCTTGCCGTGGTGCTGTGGGTTCGGGCGCAGAGCATTCCAGCGGCAAGTCGTTTCAGGATCTGTTTGCTTCGCAGACTGACCAACGGCAAGTCCTTCTGGCGCTGCCTGCTCGCGGCGCGCCGCCAGTACTCCAGCTCCCACCTCCCCCTGTCGCTGCGCGATTCACGCCGCCACCTACCCCAGATGCACCGTCACACATGCGAACCCCTTCTGCCCTCCCAGGTTCTTATAGCAAACGCCATGCAGCCGATCTGCCGACACCTTCATCCGCGTTAGTATCCACCCCTGGTTACACTCTCCAGCAATTTCGCGACACTTCGCGCCATTCTGCCCCCAGACCGCCTCCGTTCCCACCTCCACCGGTCTCGACCCTCCTCCCGCCTTCCTCCTCCGACCTGCCCGTCCCAGCAGAGTCAGTTCTAGATCTCCTCTCCGTCTACTCTTTCCTTCGCTCCTTCAGTCAGCAGCTGTTCCTCAGCCCGTTCACTCTAGACCAGTTCTGTCACGCCCTCACCACCCCCCGCGCCAGCCCACTAATAGACAGCGTCCACGTGGCGCTGCTGCGTGTGGTGGAGTACGAGCCTCCGTCAGCAGCGACGGGAGAAGGCGGCGGAGGGGGCGCGGGAGGCGGGGGAGGCGCAGGGGGAGCGGGAGGAGCGGGAGGAGCGGGAGGGGTGGGATCAAAGGCGCAGGGCCACTCTGGGAGTCTGCATCACAGGGAGCTAGACAAAGCATCTCTGGATGAAATCACCTGGCCGGAGTTCCTCCTCCTCTTCCTCTCCTCCCGCGCGTCCTCCCGCCCCAACAGCCGCAGGCTCGGCCACGCCGCCCTGGCTTCCTGCGACTACTGCCTCCTCCCTGCCTCCACTAAGATCGACTTTCTCTCGCTTCTCTGCGACGAAGCCTTAAGCAGCAGCGTGAGGGTGCGACTAGAGATAGAGCGCAGGCAGGGTGAGCTGGAGAGGAGGTATGCGTTGGCAGGGGTGGGTATGGAGGAGGAGGAGGAGAATCTCGAGGATGTTTTGGCGCCGGTGGAAAGGCAGGGGAGGCGGAGGAGGGGGCGGAGGGGAGGAGGAGGTGAGGAGGATGACGAGGGGGATTTTGGCCAGGTGGGGTATCAGAGCCTTGGGATATCCGCGCTTGCCGCTGCAGGGGTTCCCTCGGGTATGGCAGGGTTATCAGTGGTAGGGACAGGTACTGGGGCTGCTGCTGAGTCAGCAGGAGCGGGAGACGAGCTGGCAGACGGGAACGCGGACGAGTGCAAGCTATGCGGGATGGACGGTAATTTGATCTGCTGCGACGGATGCCCCGGCGCGTTTCACTCGCGCTGTGTGGGTGTGGTGGCGGCAGCACTGCCAGATGGGGACTGGTTCTGCCCCGAGTGTGACATGAAGAGGAGGGCGGGCGAGGTGCTGGGGGCGGTGGTCCCGGAGGGGATTAGAGGGGAGCATCTGGGGGAGGATCAGCACGGCCAGGTCTACTATGGCTCCTGCGGCCGTGTTGTTGTGTAAGCGTGGCTTTTTTTGTTTTGTTTTTTTTTGCTGTGAGGACCTGCCTCTGATTGCATCGCAAGTCTTGTGCCTCTCACATCCCCCTGCTGCTGCACGAGCGTTTCTCCTCTATACGGGCGTTCCAAATCCCTCTCCACACATGCTCCTGGCGCATTACAGCCCTGCAGACACCCCCTGTCTGTCGCACCATCGTGCCCACTCACGCACACATTGAAACCCCCCTTCCGCGTTTTATTGCTCTTAGGGCCCACACATCCAAATCTCCCTTTCGCCATCCCCCTTCCCCTTCGTCCCAACACAGGTCGGAGGAACGTCACAATGGCACCCACGTGGTGGCGTATTACAGCCCCGCAGACATCCCCAGCCTGCTGCACCATCGTTCTACCGGTGTTGGGTTCTTCAACTCACGCGAGCTCACATCCAACCCTTTTCCCGCATCTGCCTGTCTGTCTCCGTCAGGTCGGAGGAACGCCACAACGGCACCCACGCGGTTGCGTATTACAGCCCCGCAGACATCCCCAGCCTTCTGCACCATCTATCCGCCCTATTGCTCTTAGAGCCCACTAAGCACACATCCAAATCCCCCTTCCGCCATCCCCCTTCCCCTTCATCCCAATGCAAGTCGGAGGAGCGTCACAACGGCACCCACGTGGTGGCGTATTACAGCCCTGCAGACATCCCCAGTCTGACACCATCGTTGAAACCTTTTTTCGCGTCCCTCCTTTCCCCATTCAGGTCGGAGGAACGTCACAACGGCACCCATGTGGTGGCGTATTACAGCCCTGCAGACATCCCCAGCCTGCTGCACCATCTATCCGCGCTGGGCCCCGCCTTTGCTGCTGTTCACGAGGCTGTTGTCGCGTTCGCTCGCACTGAGCTGCCGCAGCTGGAGGAACCTGAAAGTGATGCTGAGGCACCTGAAGATTGTGTGGAGGCACCTGAAGGCGATGTGGAGGCACTTGAAGGGGATGGGGAGGCACCTGAGAACAATTCTGGACGGCTGTCAAGTGCAGCTGACGTGGAGATGGGAGAAGGGGGAGGGGATATCAATGAAGGGGATAATGAGGTAGAAGAGGTAGGAGAAGGAGGGGCTGCTGCTCCTATAGGTGCAGATGACGGGGATGTTGCCGAGGTTAAGACGGAGGAAGAGGGTGCAGTAGAGATGAAGGTGGATGAAGAGGGTGCAGCTGAGATAAAGGCGGAGGAAGGGGGTGCAGCCGAGATGAAGGGGGGGGGAGAAGCTATAGTCGAGATAAAAGCGGAGGAAGGGGGTGCAGCCGAGACAAAGGCAGAGGAAAATGCCACAGCCGAGGTAAAGGGGCAGGAAGGAGGGATTGCTGAGATGGTCACAGCAGACGCAGCGGAGGAGGAGGGAGAGGAGGAGGGAAGACGGGAGGGGGAAAGACAGGAGGGTGTGAAGGCAGAAGAGGGAGCGAATGAGGCTGGAGAGGGTTGTGTAGATGGGAGTGCAGATGGGGGCGCAGAGGGCTGTGCGGATGGAGGTGAGATTGAGTGCGCAGGTGGGGGCGCAGAGGCTGCAGAGGCATGTGTGGATGTGAGTGCAAGAGCGGGTGCAGAGGGCTGTGTAGGTGGGAGTGCAGGTGGGGGCGCAGAGGGCCGCTGTGCGGATGGAGGTGAGACTGAGTGTGCAGAGAAGGGTTCAGATGACGGTGCAGATGGTATTTCTATTGGGAGTGCTTGGGATCTGGCAGACGAAGGTGTAGGCCCTGTAGGGGATGTTTCAGAGGTTGGGGCGGCAGATTTGAGTGAGCCAGCAGAGGTTGTGATTGGGGCAGAGACGGTAACTGCCAGTGATGTAAGCGCAGAGATAGGAGGAAGGGCAGGCGGGGCAGAAATGGTAGAGGCAGGAAATTGTGGAGAGGCAGGAGATGGTGGGGAGGCAGGAGATGTTGGCGAGGCAGGAGATGTTGACGAGGCAGGAGATGTTGGAGAGGTAGGAGATGTTGGAGAGGTAGGAGATGTTGGAGAGGTAGGAAATGCAGGAATGGGAGAAAAAGGACAAGCAGAAGCGGCAGAAACAGAAGAAGCAGAGGCACAAGGAGAGGAGGATCCTATGCAGGTGGACCTCTCGTTTGTACTGGGGCCTGAGCGGTTTTTAGCCGCAGAGGAAACGACGGTTGAGGTGCAGCTAGGCAGAGGAGAGGAAGCAGCAGACGCTGCAGGAGGAGAAGGATTGATAGTTGATGCAGAAGGTGTAGGAGGAGGAGGAGGAGGAGATGGAGAAGGAGAGGGAGCATCGGAAGCAGCAGCGCAAGAAACAGCAGCTGCACCAGCTGCGGCAGTAGGAGCAGGAGCAGTAGAGGTAGGAGCAGCAGTAGCAACAGCACAAGCAGCAATTGAAGCAGAGCAACACGCGGAGCAGCATGCAGAGCAGCAGCGGGCGGAACTCGAACCGAGCAGCGGAGCAGCAGAGGCTGGTGAACAGGGGAAACCCCCAAGCTTGGCAGACCCTTCCCTCACACCTCAGGCGGGCTCAGGGAAATATTCTCAAGGGCTTGATGGCGCATGGCAGAGGCCGGGAGGGAGGCGGATTGCCCGGGTGGTGGCGAGGCTGTGGGAGAGGCTTGGCATGTCTGCTTCTGGGGAGGCTGGAGAAGCTACTCCTGCTGCTGCCGTTACCGCTGGTCCTGCTGATGGCGAGGTGCCAAAGAGCCCGTGCCAGGCAGTAGCTTTGAACGGAGTGGCATCACAAGAAGCCTTGCAGGCAGAGCAGGCGGAACATCAAGCACAGCAGGCAGAGGAGGCGCAGTGGGTAAAGAGAGTAGAGAGAGCAGAGAGGGCAGAGCGAGTGGAGCGGGGGAGAGAAGGAGATCTCCTAGAGCCGTACACGAATCGCTACGCTCTGGGGGAAGTATCCTCAGCACTAGCCGTCGCTCTCTGCTCCGCCACCGCACAGGAGGCGGAGAGGCGCGGCACAGGAGGCAGCAGAGACGAGGAGGATTCAGAGCACAGAACGAGACGTTCCGGCCGTAGGTCTAAGGGGCTTATGTCAGTAACCGAGCAGATGAGAGTGTTTGCGAAATGCATGCCTGCTGGGTACTGGCCGATGTATGCCAGTTTCTCCAGCCGCGTTGGGGCTGCAGTGGCAGCAGCAGGCGCAGGGGCTAGAAACTCTGCTGCTGCCGCGGCGGCGGCGGCGGCAGGGGCGGGTGTGTTTAAGGAGCGTTGTGGTTGGTGTGCGCACTGCCAATCCGCTCATAGGAAATACTGCCTGCTTGTCTCCGCTGCCCGTGCTGCCTCTGCGACTGCTACTGCTGCCGCGGCTGTCGGGAACGTCCGGGCTGCTAGCCAGCGCAGGCTCGGGGGAGGTCTGGCGGGAGGCGTGGGGAAGGGAAGGCTCGGAGCAGGTTCGGCAGGAGGGGAAGCGGTGGGAGGTGGTGCGGGCGGAGGTGGGGACGGGGGGAGGGTGAGGGGCTTGGGGGGACCGGGAGGGGTGCGTGGGGTGAAGGGGGAGGAAGCGTTAAGAGAGAGGGATGGGAGGCTGGATGCTGTAGTCACACGGTTGATGTACCTGGAAGGACAGCTGCACCCTTTGCTGGAAGGCCCTTGGAACGATTTCAACTGGCGCCAGCACTGGCGGCAGCGCGCAGTTCAAGCCACGTCTCTACTCCAAGCGAAGCAGCTTATAAAGGAGGTGGCCGGATCCCTCCGCACCGTCGCCCTCTCCTCCCATTGGTCGGCTGAACCAGAGCCGCCCGCGCCCCTCCCATCCAGCCTCCCGTTACAAGCACACCCAGTGCCTGTCGCCCCTGCTGCTGCCCCCCGCCCCTCTGGACGAAGGCGGAAGTCACAAGGAGGGAGAGGGGGAGCAGGTAGTTGGTTTGGAGGAGGGGGGAGAGGTGGGGGAGGAGCAGGGGCAGGATCGGTGCCGGCGTGGGTGATGCTGATGGAGGTTCGGCGAGCGGTGAGGGTCAAGGTGCAGTGGTTCCGAGGCTCTGGCTTGGCTCGGCACGCTGCGGACTGGGAGCAGCTGCCTCGGGACTTGGCTCGGCGAGCGGCTCGGCAAGGTGCGTGGCGTGGGTTTGGCAATGCAAAGCTGGTGATCTCACCTTTCTGAACTGGAAAATGGTCTTATCCGCTAGGATCAAAATAACACTTTCCCGTTCTCCCACATCCGTTTCTTCTCCCCTCTTCAACTCCCCCGATCCCACCTCCCTCCCTCCACAGGCGGTTTCAAGAAGCTCCCAGGGTTGCTGTACGGAGTGCCATTCACCAGTCGCCGAGGGGTGCCAGTGCGGGCGGAGAAGGTGGCGTGGGAGGCGAGGGTGGATGCTGCCCGCTCCGTCGCCCACCTCGCCCTGCAGCTTCGATCGCTGGAAGGGCTGATACGATTAGACCAGATCAACACCGCTGCCGGTCCCCCCGCTGTTGCCGTTCCTGCCGCTGCCGCCGCTGCTGTTGCTGCTGCTGCTGCTGCTGCCCGTGCTGCTTCTGCTGCTGGTGGTGGTGTTTTCGGTGGTGGTGGTGGTTTAGGGGATGGTGATGACGTGGAGGAGAGCTGGGTCTCGCTGTGTGACGTGGCGTCGCGTGATTCGTATGTTCTGGATAAGGACTTCCGGCCGCCGTTTGTGAAAGGGAGGAGGTGGAGGGCGGAGAAAGGGGTGGAGTATCTGCTGATTGTGAAGAGTGAGGAGGAAAGGGAGGAGGGAGAGGAAGAGGAGGAAGAGTGTGATTCAGAGGAGGAGAGGAGGAGGAAGAAGAAAAGGGCGAGGGAGAGGTTGAGGGCGTGGAGGAGGAAGCAGAGGGAGGTGATTGAGGGAGTGGGGACGGGGGCAGGGGTCAAGGAGAGGAAAGGGAGGGCTGTGGTGAAGCATGAAGTGGAAAATATCAAAGAGGAGACCGTTAAAGAGGAGTTGGAAACGGTTGGGAAGGAAGAAGCGAAGGTCAGAAGAAGTGAAAGGGAGGAGGATGTGGGAGTGAAGAGAGTGGGAGTTAAGGAGGAATGGAAGGAAGAGGTGAGGGAGGGTGCGGCTGAGGAGGATGAGGGGGCAGAAAGGGAGGCAAAACGGGCGAGAAGAGGAGAGCAAGGGGAATGGGTAGCAGGGGGAGGGCAGGCCGTGGGAGGGGAGGTGTTAAGGGGGGAGGCAGTGGGAAGGACAGCGGTGGGAGGGGAAGGAGGTGCGGGTGGAGTGAGTGCGGAGGGAGGTGCACTACCAGCAGCGGAGTACTTGTTTGGAGTAGCCTCTGTCACCGCTCCCCCTTGTGCTGAAGACCACGGGACGGCTGCTGCTGAGGCTGACGTTCCTCATGGGATGGGTGCGTCTGGTGGTGTGGAAACGAATGATACTCCCATGCTCGTGTCTCTCGAGGCTGAGATGAGAGGAACAGGTGCGGGTGAGGATGGGACACAAGAGACACAAGAGACGGAGGAGGCACAAGAGACACAAGGGATGGAAGCTGAAGCTATCGGTGTCCAAACGAGCGTTGCTGAAGCAAGGCTTGGAGGGGTGGAGGCAGAGGAGCGAAAGGCTGAGGAGGGGGGCGAAGGAGAGGAGGCGACTCTTGGGGCCCCTGAAAAGGAGATGAGGGCGGATGAGGAGGTGAGGGAAGAAGAGGGGGAAGAGAGGAACGATGAGGTGGAGGAAGTGATGGGAGATGTAGGCAGTGGTGGTGGTGGGAAGGACGGAGGTGGTGAAATGGTGGATTTATCCCAGGAAGATGAGGAGTGTGGGAGGGAGGAGAGCGTTGTCAGTGAGATGCAGGTGGGCAGAGAGTCGAATCCCTGGAAAAGAAGGAGGAAAGACGGTGGGAAGGAGGAGGATGTGGTCGTGGCAATGGGGGATGTTGGGGAAGGGGCAGGGGAGGGAGCAGCAGCAGATAAAGTAGAGAATAGAGCATGTAAGGAAGAAGAGGAAGAGGAAGTTGGGGATGACGAGGAGAGGAACGAGGGAATGAAGGAGGAGGAGAGGGAGGAGGAAAGTGAGGAGGAGGAGGAGGAATATGAAGAGAGGGACGAGGATTTGTTTGGAGAGAGGGAAACGGGGAGAGGAAGGGGGAGGGGGAGAGGGAGGGGGAGGGGGAGGGGGAGAGGGAGAGGGAGAGGAAGAGGGAGAGGCGGAAGGGGTGGGAGGGGTGGGGGAGGTGGGAGAGGTGGGAGAGGGGGAGCAGGGAGGGGGAGGGGAACGGCTGGTACGAAGCGGAAGAGAGGGGAGCATCTGGTTGAGTACATGAAAGCGAAACGTGCTGCTGCTGCCGCCGCTCCCGCCGCCGCCTCTGCTGCTTCTGGGGATACTGCTGGTGTTGCCGCAGCTTCGGCTGGTGTTGTCGAAGTGGAGGAGGTAGGAGGAGATGGAGGCGGAAGGAATGGTGAGAAGGTCACAGGTGTGGTGGAAGGAGGCGGGGGAGAGGAGGAGGGAGGGAAGGAGGGAGGGGAGGAGGAAGTTATGGAGGTAGGGGTGCAAGGGGAGGGTAAGGCAGGGAAGAAGCGCAAGAGAGAGCTGAAGCCAGAAATCATTCCCGAGGGGAGCCGGAGAGTCACGAGGAGCCGAGTGAAGGAGGAGGGGGGTGCAAAGAAGGGAGTGGGAGAGAAAGGAAGAGCTGATGGGAAGGTTGTAGTTGAGGATATGGTAAAGGGAAGAAAAGGTGGGGTGAAGGGTGGTGTAAAGGCAGGGAAGAAGGGGAAGGAAGAGGAGGAAGAGGAGGAGGAGGCGGAAGGTGTGGTTATGGTGAAGGAAGAAGAGGAGGTGGAGGAGGTGAAGGAGGAGGTGAAGGAGGAGGGGGAGGAGAAGGGTGAGAAGGGTGGGAGAGGAAGAGTGGCTGGGGGCAGAGGGAGGGGTGTGGATGTTGCTGAAAGGAACAAGCTGCGGCTTGTGGAGAAAGAGGAGAAACAGGAGGAAGAAAATGAGCAAATAGTAGGGAAGGTAGAGAGGAAGATTGAGAAGATGAGAGAAGTGCAGGAGATAGAGGAAGTGGAAGAGAGTGACGAAGAGGGGCGAGAGGATGAGGAAGAGGAGGAAGAAGACGAAGATGGGGGAGTGTGGGTGCCAGAGAGGCTAGTCCCACTGGAGCTGATCCGAGAGTTTGAGCACCGAAGGAGAACAGAGATCTGGGAAGAGCATGCAAAGCTGGTGAGAGCAGAGAGAGAGGCTGCAGAGGCAGCCGCTAGGGCTGTTATTGTTAAGTACGTGAGGGAGAAAGTGCGGGCGATGAGGGAGAGGCGGGAGCTGATGGTGCAGGCGATGGTGGCTCAGTGTAGAGAGATGGAAGGGCGGAAGAGGCGGGGAGGAAAGGAGAAGCAGGGGCAGGAGAGGCCGGGGCAGGAGAGGCAGGGGCAGGAGCGGGAGGAGAAGCGGAAACGGGAGAGGGAGAGGGAGCGGGAGCGGGAGAGGGAGAGGGAGGCGAGGGAGCATGAGAAGGAGGATCGGCGGGAGAGGAAGGAGAGGGTGAAGGAGGAGAGGGAGAGGGAGCGGCAGAGGCGGTTGGAGGAGAGGGAGAGGGCGAGGAGGGAGAGAGAGCAGGCTTCAATGACGAGAATGTCACAGGTGGTGGGGGCAGAGGTACAGGCGAGGATAGTGGCGGAGGCACGGGGGAGAATGCAGAGGGAGATGGAGGAGCGGTGTTCTGCTCTGTATGCCCGACTGGTGGCTGTGCAGAGTCAAGCAGGAGGTGCGGGAGCAGCCGGAGGAGCGGGGGGAGGAGGAGGAGCAGAAGCGGTGGTGGATGCGTGCAGGGTGTGCACGCGAGGGTTCTTCGGTGATGGGTGAGTGGCAGCAGGGTAGTTGCCTTGCACGAAGAAATTTCCTGCGTGCATGGGTACATGTCTTGCACAGGTGGATTCGTGCAGAGTGTGCACGCAAGGGTTCTTGGGCGATGGGTGGGGTAGTTGCCTTGAACGGAGGGTTACTGCTGCATGGGGTACATGTCTCGCATGTGGGAGTAGAGTTTGAGGTGATTTATGATGCGATTGCCTAACGTATCTTATGCACCTGGCAGTGGCCATTTATCGTGCCTTTCCTCTCCCTTTCGTGCTGCCTTTCCCTCTCGTAATTGCTCTTTTTTTCCCTTCTCTAAGTCGCCCTTCTTCCTCTTTCCTCCAACTTTGGCGTCTTTCCCTCCGCACTGCAGCTCGAATCAGGTCTTCATATGCGTTTCCTGTAAAGGTGAGCGTCTTTTCAAGTCTTCCAGACCTTCTCATGTCAACTTGGCCTTTTGGTCTGCGTTACTTGTCTTCCTAACCCTAGTTAATCAACACACTCTGTCTGTACGCATCTTGTGCAGTGCACCGCTAACGCTCTACTCCCCTCCAAATCCCGCTCCCCCAACATTCTTCCCCCCTTTCCCCCCCCCCTCCTCACAGCCTTGACCCATGCCACATGCCTCTCGCCCCCGGACCTCCTCCCTCCGGCCTTCCATCCCGCCCCTCCCACGGAGCCATCCCCCTCCCCGTCCCCTCCCGCATTTCTCCTCGTGTGCCTCAACTGTGCCTTCTCCGTCTCGCAACAAGACACTGCCTCTGCCGCTGCTGCTGCTGCTAATTTGTCTCTACCTGAGCACACTTAGTCTAATATCATCTGTGCTTTGTGCTTCCCCCCCATCCCCTCCCCCGTTCCCATCACAGCCTTGACCCATGCCACATGTCTCTCGCCCCCCGACCTCCTCCCTCCGGCCTTCCACCCCGCCCCTCCCACGGAGCCATCCCCCTCCCCGTCCCCTCCCGCCTTCCTCCTCGTCTGCCTCAACTGTGCCTTCTCCGTCTCGCAACAAGACACTGCCTCCGCCACCGCTGCTGCTACCGAAGCCATTGCTGCCGCCGATGCTGCCGCCGCCGCCGCTGCTGCCTCTGCTTCTGCTGCTACTGCTGCTGCTGGAGCGGCTGGTGTCGCTGGCGCTGCTTACGGTGATGCTGCTGCTGTCGGTGGGGGTGGTGCCGGTGCTGGTGCTGCTGGTGCTGTTGCTGCTGGTATTGGTGCTGCTGGTATTGGTGCAGCAGCAGAAGGGCACGACGACGAGCAGAAAAGGAGGCGGAGAGTTTTCCGGGCAGAGCACCCGGTTTGGACGCTGCCCGGGACTCCGGGCAACCGGCCCACAGTCGCGGGATATTATTTCGCCACAGGAAAGGGCGAAAAGGCCGAGAAGGAAAGACCGGAGGGGGAAAAAGGGTTGCAGCTGAAGTGGATACCGTCAGGGGCAGGGGGGAGGAAGGCGATGGGGGTGCATGGGATGGGGGAGGGAGCCGGAGTGGCGTGCAGGCTGTGCAAGGAGGGGTACGATGAGAGTCGCTTCTACGTCGCCTGCAACTTCTGCGATTGTAAGCCGCTTGAACCAGAGTGTGGGAGGGCTGTTATGTTTTTTTCGTGGGGTATGGGAGTGGGAGTGGCGTGCAGGCTGTGCAAGGAGGGGTATGATGAGAGCCGCTTCTACGTCGCCTGCAACTTTTGCGACAGTAAGCCCAATCTGAGCGTGTGGGAATTTGAAGGGCTTGTTTTGTGTGCTTTTCTCTTCTTTTGTGCTCTCTCCTTTCACTCCCTTCTTTCCCTTCTATCCTTCTTTTCTTTGCCCCAGCCCACGTTACACTTACGTTTTACGTTAAACCTCCCCTCTCCGTCCCTCCGATTTCCTTCTTTTCGTTTCCCCCTTCCCTTTTGGCCAGCCTGGTTTCACGGGGATACATTGCAGCTAGACGAGCAGCTGGACATTCCGATCCTGCTCTACCTCAGATGCACCCTTGCCTTGTGACTCTTAAAAGTACTCCTTTTCCTCCTTTTTCTCTTCCCGGTTTTCCCTTTCTGCAGCCTGGTTTCACGGTGACACACTGCAATTAGACGAGCAGCTGGACATCCCCATCCTGCTCTACCTCACGTGCATTCTTGCCTTGTTTTCTTTCCCCTTCCCGTTCTACCCTCTCCCCAGCCTGGTTTCACGGTGACACACTGCAATTAGACGAGCAGTTGGACATTCCGATCCTGCTCTACCTCAAGTGCAACCGCTGCCGTAAGATCGCCAACAAGCTGCATCCCTGCCGTCCAAACCACGTGGATCCCCTTGATTGGCCGCCACATGGCACTGCTGCCGCTGCTCTCGACGAAACACCAGCAGAAGTGGCAGCAGGAGGAGCAGGGGCGGGGGGAGGAGCAGGAGGGAAAGGGGCGGGAGGAGGGGCGGGAGGAGGGGCAGGTAAGGGAGGGAAACGGGGAGGAGGTGCAAAGGGAGGCGGGAAGAGAAAGAGCAGCAGAGGCGCTGGGACTGTGGAGCAATCACCTGCCTATCCTGCTCATGTTGGTGCTGGGGGGACAATGGGTCAAGCCACCACAGCAACAGTGACTGCAGGGAACGGGGCAGCACCGGGTGTGATTATAACGACAGAGAACATTGACCCGGATTCGTTCTTCGACTCGCAATTGACTGGAACAGGGGTTGGGATGGGTGAGGATGGGATGGGCGGGGATGGGATGGGTATGGCTGGTGCCGCGGCCGCAGGAGGGGAAGCATGGGGCGGAGGAGGAGGGGGGGGCGGGAGAGTGGGGGAAGCGTGGGGAGGAGGAGGGGGAGGGGGAGCGGATGTGGTGGAGGGTGGTGAGGATGGGTCGTTTTGGAACATCCCGTTACCTACGGATACGGATCTGATGGATGGGGCAGCGATGGAAGCACAGCTGATGGGTACTGCTGGGATTGCCATGGGTGGTGCTGCAACTGGCGCTTATGCTGCTGGCGCTGCTGATGGTGGTGGTGCTGGTGCTGCTGGTTCGGGTGCCGCTGGTGTGGGTGCTGTTGGTTCTGCTGCTGGTATGGCTGGTATGGTTGGTATGGCTGGTATGCCTGATGGTCCTGGTGCAGGTGGTTTTGTGGGTAATGCTTCTCTAGCTGACGCTTCTGCTGGTGTTGCCGGTGGTGCTGGCAGTGCTGCCAGTGGCGCGCAGCTGCGGCAAGAACAGCAATGGCAGTTGCAACAGCAATATCAGCAGCAATATCAACAGCAGCAGCAGCAGCAGCAGCAAACTCAGCAGCAGCAGCAGCAGCAGCAACAGCAGCAGCATTACCAGCAGCAGCAGCAATTTGGACAGCAGGTGGGAACACAGCATGCATGGGCCGCTCTTCAGGTGGGCTCTGTTCCAGGTGGACTTTCAGGTGGATTGTCAGGTGGATTGCCTGGTGGATTGTCAGGTGCATTCCCAGGTGGTTTTCCAGGTGGCAATCTTCCTGCAGCAACAACAGCAGGTGGAGGCAGCAGAGGAGGAAGTGGGAAAGGAGGAAGAGGAGGGGCAGGATTAACAGAGACGGCAGCAGCAGCAGTAGCAGCCGCTGTAGCCGCTGCAACCGGAGGAGTAGGGACAGCAGGAGGAGGAGCAGGAGGAGCAGGAGGAGGGGCAGGAGGAGCAGGAGGGGTAGAGGGGTCAGGCAGGCGGCTGAGACCGCGCAGGCCTCGATCGGCATCCACTGCGGATAAAGGAGAGGTTATTAACGAGGCAGCTCACCAGAACAGTGCAAGCAGTGCTCGTCTTGGTTCTGCCTTTCCTTCGGTGCATAACGTTTCTGGAAACCTCCCCGCTGGTCGAACGGTGCTGGTAGCAGGGCAGATCGGGGCACAGCAACAGCAGCAGCAGGAAGGCTACCGTAATCAGCAGGAGCAACCACTGCAGCAACCACAGCAGAATCAGCCGCAACAGCCATATCAGCAGCAACATCAGCAATACCAGCAGCCGCAACAACAGCAAAGTCAGGTGCAGGCACACCATCAGCACTGGCAGAGTCACCAGACTCGGCAGCTGCAGCAGCAGCATCAGCTTGAGCAACAGCAACTGCAGCAGCAACAACAGCTTGAGCAGCAGCGACTGCAGCAGCAGTATCAGCTTGAGCAACAGAACATGCTGCAGCAATTTGCTCAACAGCAGCCACTACAACATCAGCTGCACCAGCAGCAGCACCAGCAGCAGCAGAAACGGCAATTACTGCTGCTGCACAAGCGTTATCAACAGCAATATCAACAGCAACAGCAGCAGCAGCAGCAGCAGCAGCAACAGCTGCAGCTACAGCAGCAGCAGCAGCTACAGCAGCAGCAACAGCAGCAGCAACAGCAGCAGCTACAGCAGCAGCAGCAACATCAGCAGCAGCAGCAGCAGCAGCAACATTTTCCTTCCAATGCACCAGTGAACTTCCCCCATCCCCCCCCACACTCCTCGTTGCCTCCCGCACAACCCCACTTGCCACCCATGCCAGCCACCCTACCACCTCCTGCCCACGTTCCCCAACACTCTCAAGCCCCCGCCATTCAATATCCTAGTCAACCTGCAAGTGAATATCCAAGTCAACTTGTTAGTCAAGCTCCAAATTTCGAGTCACACGCGGCAAATTTCGAGGCGCCGCAAATGCCGTTTGAGTCAATGCACTCTCAAACCCCTCCCGTTCAACCGTCGAATCTAGCCCCGGTTCCAGCTCTGAGCCAGCCTTCGAGTCACAACTCTATCGAACCACCTCCAATTCAAGCACCGAATCAGCCTCTGAGTGAATACCCGAGTGAAGCTGCATACCCCTCTGAGCCTCTCGAAACGCCGATAGAAGCCCCGATCGAAGCGTCGATTGAAGCCCCGATTGAGCCGATTACACCTCCGATCACCCCAGAGCAGCTGGTGGCGCTGGTGGAGTCGCAGCTGCTGGCGCAGGGGTTTGACCCTGCGACTGCTGCTGCCGTGATAGCTGGTATGAGGGAGGGGGACCCGAGTGCTGTCGAGATCGTGAATGCTGCTTTCAGTGCCAGCCAGGAGTGTGGGTCTGCTGAGCAGGTGGGGGCAGAACAGGTGGGGTTGCAGGAGGTGGGGTTGCAGCAGGTGGGGGCAGAGCAGGTGGGGTTGCAGGAGGGTGTTGGTGCTGGGCAGGAAACTTTGCAGCCGGGTGTTTCTGCCTCTGTGGAAGGTGCTTCTGGTGTGGGGCTGGGTGATGGTGGTTTCGAGCAGCAGCAGGAGCAGCAGCAGCAGCAGCAGCAGGAGCAGTGGTCACAGCAGCAGGAGCAAGGGCTGCAGCAGCAACAACAGTGGCTGCAGCAGGAGCAAGGGCAGCAGCAGCAGGGGGAAGAACAGGGGCAGTGGCCACAGCAGCAGGAGCAAGAGCAGCAGCAGCAGCAGCAGCAACAGTGGTCACAGCAGCAGCAGCAACAATGGCAGCAACAGCAATGGGAGCAGCAGCAACAGCCCCAGTGGCAACTGGAACAGCAGCAGCAGCAACCGGAACAGCAGCAGTGGCAAACGGAACAGCAGCAGCAGCAACCAGAACAGCAGCAGTGGCAAACGGAACAGCAGCAGCAGCAATCGGAACAGCAGCAGTGGCAAACGGAACAGCAGCAGTGGCAGCAGCTGCAGCAACAACCGGAACAGCAGCAGTGGCAGCAACAACAACAGGTGGCTGTTCCAGGTGACGGTCAAATCAGCATGCCTGTGCAAACCTATAGCCAGTCACAGGAAGCTTGGATGGAACAGGGTGCTCCCGTGGGCCAAAATGTGATTGGTCGGACCAATGAGGTGAACCCTGTGTTGGTGGGACAATCCCAAGGGAGAGTAGTAGAGTCCACTGGGGACATGGGAGTTGGAATGCAGTGGGAAGGAAATAAGGCAAGCAAGGATGCAAGTTTGCCTGCGATCCAGAGAATGGGAGATGGCATGGTGCTTGGCAGTGATGGTATGATGGATAATGGTGCGAGTGGTGCCACTGATGGTGGAAATGCGCCTCTTGGTCGTGTGGGGCATTTGTCCATGTGGAATCAATGGGGGCAGTAGCAGCTGCTGGAAGAAACGTATAGTGTACTCGTGTATGCAGTGCATCACTATACTGAAGAATGCGGGATAGATAGGCTAAAGACATTTCTTGTAAAATACTCTTCCTTTTGTACACCATTATGCAATGTACGGCTGGATTGCCCTTTCAGTTGGGGAAAATATGCCACACGTAATCAACAAGGGTCTCGATAATTTGTTTGGTAAAAAAAAAAACGGGTACGGTCAAAGGAAAGGGTGTTTTCACGTGTTTGATAAAGCGTTTCACGGAATCAGTCACAATCAACTGGGAAAAAAAATCGCGAATGGTCACAGATGAAACTCCCGCCCAAAAAAGATAATACCCAAAACGAACCTGGATGCATTTTCGGATGAATCAACCCTAAACACAATTCGCCAGGTGTTTAGGGTTGATCCGTTCCCAAACCGCATCCAATTCCGATTGGGTTTTAGTTTTTTTAGAAGTTAGATGATTGGTTGGACGCGAGCGGGAATATTGTAGAGTTTCAAGAATTTTTGGCGGGAGTTACATGTGTGACCATTCGCGTGATTTTTCACCTGTTGTTAGTGACTGAATCCGTGACCCCGATTACCAAAACCGTCAGGAAACCCGATACAGTGACCGTACGCGTTTTTTTTGTACCATTCACGTTATCGGGTCCCATGTTCGTTACGTGTGGCATATTTTCCCTTTCAGTTGCCCCCTTCCACTAAAATAACAAGCTGCTGAGGGCATCCGAGTGCAGCGAGTATACTCTCAAACGAGTACGCCTGACACTCCATCAGATCGCGGAGACATCGAGAGGACGCCGCGGATTGGCTGGTCGGCCTGAATCCTCCATTCACATTCGTCGTTTCTCCCACAGCAGCCATCGAGTATTTCGGCACTCCCTAGGTTCTCTGGTTGCTACCACCTAGTATCTTAGTTCCTGGATGCATTAGTTTAGTTTAGGTATTCCGCTTTTGCCCAATGCTTTGAAAACTCTAGCTTGCAGATACGAAACGTGTCAGCGGGAAATCCGTAGCGAGTATCGAGATGTCTCAAATTCCGATCGTGGACAGCTAGCTTCGAAGTGATACCCGGCACGATAACTGGCAATCCAAGAGGCTATGAATTCGATAATACAATAATCCAGGAAACCAGGGGTTCAAGTTCTAAGGAGTCCAGTATCTAGCAGTCCTGATTAGGATCACTTTCGCTCCGTTAGGTTATCAACGAGCTGCTCTTCTTGTATCGCTGTGTGTGGCGCGAGCGTCAGGACAGGAGACAACCGGCCACGCACTAGCATTCAGCCCTCTGAGACGTCTCAAAAGGCACACGCATTGAGCCGGTCACGCATTACGATACTAACAATCCAAGAAGGGAGAATTTGACCATGGAAACTCCTTCAGCAATGGAGATTCGCTCGGCTCCCACCGCACCCACGTCATCACCACCATCGCGATCCAATCGAACGGTCCAGATTTTCGCCGTCCTCCTCGCAATCTCCCTCTTATTCGTCGTCGCATACGTCCAAACCCGGCCGCCCGCAACCCCCGACGCTCTCCCCGCCGCTCTCCACACTCGCATCGCCCTCCGCTCTCTCATCCAACTCAACTCCACCGCAGCCTTCGGCGTCGTCCCCTCCGCGTTAAAACCCCGTCCGAACTTCGCCGCCACAGGCGGGGGAAGCAGCAGCAGCGGCACCCGCGGCACCCGCGGCGCCCGCGGTGGGGGAACCGGCGCGGTGTATCTCCGCGAATACAGGCAGCCAATGGCGAACGGGAAACCCGAGTTCACGTGTTACCACACGGAACATCTGCCCTGTAACGAAGCGGATCGCAAGTTCGGGCCGTCGCTGGATATGATCCGCGATTTAGAGCTCTCGCGCGCGGACCGCGAGATGCTCCACGTGCTGCGCCGCTTCCGCTGGCAGCGCGAGGAGCTGGCGCTGCAGGTGCCGCGGCGCGAGAGGAAAGTGGCGTTTATGTTCCTCACCAAGGGAGCCGTGCCTCTCGCTCCGCTCTGGGAGCGGTTCTTCAAGGTATGTGGTCTGTCGGTGTTAGCAGGAGGCGTCGGGTAGAGTCAGGAGCCTGAGAACGGTTTCTTCAAGGCAGTTCCGTCAATGGCGTGTGGTGGAGACAAAAACGCGTGCAGGGTTGAACGACGGAGAGGAAAGTGGCGTTCATGTTCCTTACCAAGGGAGCCGTGCCGCTGGCCCCCCTCTGGGAGCGCTTTTTCAAGGTAGGTCCGTGAATGGCATTTGGTCGAGACAGAGTTACGCCAGGGTTTCTTTCCATTGCCATTCCCTTCACATGCCACCTCCCCCACATGCCACCTCCCCCACATGCCACCTCCACCACGTACCACCTGCAGGGCCACGAGGGGCGGTACTCCATCTACGTGCACGCCTCTCCAGACTACACCTTCCCCAAAAACGCCTCCACTCTCTTCAGCAACAACACCATCCGCAGTGAACCGGTGCGTGCAGTGCAGCATGCTCTAGGCTAGCATGCAGGGTGTTCATTGATTGACCTTTGAGTTGACTCAAGAGTCTCAAAAGTCAAGAACGCCTCCACCCTCTTCAGCAACAACACCATCCGCAGCGAACCGGTGCGTGCAGCGTGCTCTGGGCTGATCCCCTTCAGTTGACTCAAAGAACAGCATTGGGCTCTGAGACGTCTCAGAATTCGTTCCCCAAAAACGCTTCCACTCTCTGCAGCAGCATCACCATCCGCAGCGAGCCGGTGCGTTCTTTTGACACATCTCACCATGCTTGAGGCGCCCAGCACGTCTCATTGCTTGGTCTACCCGCCCTTGTGGTTGCCTCAATGGTCGCGCGGAATCTGGTATTTTCACAGGTTGTAACTCATCCCACCCACATGCCTTTTGAGGCGCCTCAATTGTTGTGCCCGTTGACACGTCTCACTGGTCTACCTGCCTTTCTGATTGCCGCAATGGTCGCGCTGAATCCAGTGGATTCACAGGTTGTAACTCCTCTCCTGTCCCTTCTCTCCTCATCTCTCCCCCTCCCCCAGGTGGGATGGGGTCTGCCCACCATGGTGGACGCCTTGCGTTGCGATGTGGACCTCATCAGTCAACTCAACTCCTCCGTCCTCTCCTTCCTCTCCTTCCTCTCTACCTCACCTCCCCTTCCCCAGGTCGTATGGGGTTTACCCACCATGGTAGACGCCGAGAGGCGCCTCATGAGTAAACTCATAACTTTTCCCTCCTCTCCTTCCTCTCTACCTCGTCTCCGCTTTCCCCAGGTGGGATGGATGGGGTTTACACACCATGGTAGACGCGGAGTTACGTGCCCTATCAATCAACTCAACTCTCTTCCTTCCGCTCCCTCCTCTCCATTCTCTGCTTTCTCCTCCCTCCCCCTCCTCCAGGTGGAATGGGGTCTACCCACCATGGTGGACCAGAGTGTGGTCGTTCAAGCTCCCTCTCCCTCTCCCTTTTCTCCTCCTCCCTCCCCCTCCTCCAGGTCGGATGGGGTCTGCCCACAATGGTCGACGCGGAGAGGCGCCTCATGGCTGCTGCTCTCGCAGATCCCGCCAACCACCGCTTCGTGCTGCTCTCAGAATCGTACGTACGACTTTTTGTTCTCGAATCGTGCGCCCTTCTTCTCACATTTGTTGGGCCTCCTTCTCGTAATCTTATGCCACGCCCTTGCTCTCAGATCAGAATCTCATGGGCTCTTGAAGCTTGCACCCCTCCTCTCAAAATCGTATGTCCTTGTTGGAAATATATCACCAAGCATTTATCCACATCTGGGACTGCATGATGACCATTCCTGTGTTAAATTCGTGTGCCCCACCCTCCCTCCCTCCCCCCCACCTCCCGTCCCCCCTTCCCCCTCCCTTCTCCCCCCTTCCCCCTCCCTTCTCCCCCCTTCCCCCTCCCTTCTCCCCCCTCCTCTCCTCTCCCTCCCTCCTCCCCCCTCCGTCATCCCCGCCCCCCCCCAATCCGCAGGTGCATACCCGTGAAGAGTTTCAGCCACATCTGAAACGACCTGATGCACCTGTAGCTGCGTACCTCCCGCGTGCAACCACACCCCATGCATCACACCATAGTCCATACACACCTCCCTGTCCCCGTTCCTTTCCCCCATCCGCAGGTGCATACCCGTGAAGAGTTTCAACCACATCTGAAACGACCTGATGCACCTGTAGCTGCGTACCTCCCGCGTGCAACCACGCACACCCCATGCATGCATCACATCATACTTCAAACGTACCTACCTCCCCGTCCCCTTCCCCCATCCTCAGGTGCATACCTGTGAAGAGCTTCAACTACATCTGGGACTACCTGATGGGCACTCGCTACAGCTTCGTCTCCAGGTGATTCCAGGTGGATTTTCAGGTGTGTTTCCAGGTTTCTGTCTGGTTGCATTTTCGGTGATTGGATGTATGGGGTGATTGAGTTCGATATCAGGTGCCAAGGAAGACAACCCAGGTGGTTCTTTGAAGGCTCAGGTGGTTCTTTGAAGGCTCAGGTGGTTTTTTTAAGGCTCAGGTGGTTCTTTGAAGGCTCAGGTGGTTTTTTTAAGGCTCAGGTGGTTCTTTGAAGGCTCAGGTGGTTCTTTGAAGGCTCAGGTGGCTGGTCACACCCAACCACACACACACGCACAAATGCTTCCTCCCTCACCCACTTTTTCACCGTCTTTCCAGGGTGTTTGGGATACTGCAGGACCCCTTGGGTTCACCGTCTTTCATACTTATTCTCCTCATCCTCTTCTCTCCCTCCTTTCCTCCCTTCTTCCTCCTCCCCTCGTTGCTCCCCTTCCCTCCTTTCTCTCCTCCCCTCCTCTTTCCCTTCCTCTCCTCTCTTCCACTCTCTACTCACCCCTCGCCCCACGCCCCTCACCCCTCACCCCTCACCCCTCGCCCCACGCCCCTCACCCCTCACCCCTCACCCCTCGCCCCACGCCCCTCACCCCTCACTCCTCGCTTTGCAGCCTCTTCATTGACCCCCCTGTGAGCTCTGGCCAGTACGACAAGCACATGCTTTTTTACTTTTGAGTCGACTCAAAAGTCACGTCGACTCAAAAGTCGAGTCGACTCAAAAGTCCCCCCTGTGAGCTCTGGCCAGTACGACAAGCACATGCTTTTTGACAAGTCCCAAAAATCCTCTCTCTCCCTTCCTCGCCGCTCACCGCACCCGGCAGCTTCTTCATTGATCGCTCCGTGTGCTCTGGCTGCTACGACAAGCACGTCCTTTTCTTGACGTCTCAGAATCGCTCTCCTCCCTCCCATCCTCTCCTCTCACCCCTCCTCCCGGCAGCTTCTTCATAGATCGCCCGGTGTGCTCTGGCCGCTACGACAAGCACATGCAGCCCAAGATGCCTCACAAATCCTCTCCTCCCTCCCCCACTCATCTCTCGCCCCTCCCTCTCCCCCTGCAGCTTCTTCATTGATCGTCCCGTGTGCTCTGGGCGCTACGACAAGCACATGCAGCCCAAGATAACGCTCGGCCAGTGGCGGAAGGGGTCGCAGGTGAGGGGAGGGAGGCAGGTGGGGGAATTAGAGGCGGGGGAACAGATCAAGGGTAGGAGAGGGATGGAGTGCGACAAGACAAGCACATGCAGCCCAAGATAACGCTCAGCCAGTGGCCCAAGGGGTCGCAGGTGAGGGGTTGAGGGCAGCAATGGGGTACGATTAACGCTTAGAGGCGAGGGAACAGCGGTCAGGGGTAGGAAAAGAGTAGAGATATGTCAAGCACATGCAGCCAAGATCTCGCTCAGCCAGTGGCGCAAGGGTTCGCAGGTGAGGTGGGGCAAGCATTTGAGAGGGGAACAGGGATCAAGGGTGGGAGAGGGGAGGAGATATGACAAGCACATGCAGCCCAAGGTTACGCTCAGCCAGTGGCGGAAGGGGTCGCAGGTGAGGTGGGGAGGGCAGGAGAGGGTGGGAGGGCAGGCAAGGGGGGTAGGAGTAACGTTTAGAGGCGAGGGATCAGCGGTCAAGGGTAGGAAAGGGGTAGAGCTATGGCAAGACAAGCACATGCAGCCCAAGATGTCGCTCAGCCAGTGGCGGAAGGGGTCGCAGGTGAGAGGCGGAGGGCAGGCAAGGGGGTAAGTGTTGAAGGAATAGTGGTCAAGTGCAGGTCGGGGAGCAAGGGTTGAAGGTGAGAGGGTAAGGGCACACTTACACAGTGTCAAAATGAACACTCGTATAGTCAGTGTCACTCCCTGACAAAAGAGGAACACTGTGTCGAAAGAGGAACACTGTGTCGAAAGGGGAACACTGTGTTGCAACGCTGAGGGAATATTGTGTTCTTCCTGCATAAGATGTGTGAGGTTGCGTTTATGAGCACGAATATAGGTAAGCGTTCGGGGTTTGCAGAGTCCTTGATTTCATGAAAATGATTCCTTTTTGCTTCTTGTTTGTGCTGCATTCATAAAAACTTTGTTTGGATTTTATTTAACTCCAATGTTTTCTGAGTTCTAATGGCGCATGTGTCACTTGACTTGAAATGGCATGCGTGAGTGTGGACATGGATTCTCGTGTGGAACTTGGGATGGAATGTATGTGAATGTGCATATGATTCGTGCTCATGGCATGTCACGTCACATGCATGTTGCCATGTCATGGCACATGGATGCTATGGCACATGCATGCGGTTGTGGCATAACACATGCCATGGCACATGCACGTGGGCATGGCATGGCATGGCAGTGGTTTGCAGCCACGAGGCGGCATGTGAACATCATCATCGATGACGACACCATTCATGCCCTCTTCCAAAAGTACTGCCGGGTGAGTTCCTAGAAGCCCTTTCATCCCTATCACCTCTTGTCTGCCTGTCACTGCATCAATCGCCTCATTGGGTGAGGCACTCTCATTTTCATTGGAATGAAAAAATGGAAAGAGTCTAGCGATTTTCTGAACGTTCGCTTCTGTGAATATAAAATTGGAAGTAAAGAATCCTTCTGCTGGATTTAAAATCCTGAGCTGGTATTTTCTTAGAACTCTAATCATCCCGCGGTTCTGCTGCTGCCGGTCTGAACGAGCTGGTTTCTCTTCGCTCTACTCCTATGAATACTTGCCTTGCCACGTCTCTTGCTTGGGCGAATGGCAGGGCGACAAGTGGCATCACCACTGCTACGCTGACGAGCACTACATCCCGACCCTTCTCAATGTGCGCCTCCCTTGCCCCTCTTGCTCCTTTTCTTCTCTTGACCCTCTTGCTGCTCTTTTTCTTGCCCTTTTTCCTCCTAGTGCTCCTCTTGCTCCTTTTCCTTCCTTTGGTCCACTTGCTCCTTTTGCCCTTGCTTCTTTTCCCCCTCTTGCTCCTCTTGCTCCGTTTCCTCCCCTTCCTTCTCATCCTAATGGCCGTTTTTTTTCTCACCTGAATCCACTCTCCATTCGCTGTCTGCTCATCCCCTGTCTCCCCCTTTTGCTCAACAAATAAAGGACCCTGGGCGGGTGGCCAACCGCACTCAAACCTATGTGTACTTTTGAGGCGCCTCGAATATCGCACCAGATTCGAGGTGCCTCGAAAACTGTCTGCTCATCCCCTGTCTTCCCCTTTTGCTCAACAAATAAAGGACCCTGGGCGGGTGGCCAACCGCACTCAAACCTATGTGTACTTTTGAGGCGCCTCGAATATCGCACCAGATTCGAGGTGCCTCAAAAACTGTCTGCTCGTCCCCTGTCTCCCCCTTTTGCTCAACAAATAAAGGACCCTGGGCGGGTGGCCAACCGCGTGCCTAAAAAACTGTCTCGGCATCCCCTGTCTATCCCTGTCTCTCGGCAGATAAAGGAGCCTGGGCGGGTGGCCAACCGTACGATCACCTACGTGGTCTTTTGAAGCGCCTCAGATATCGGATTTGTGGCACCTCAACAGTCGTATCAGTTTTGAGGTGCCTAAAAAACTGTCTCGGCATCCCCTGTCTATCCCTGTCTCTCGGCAGATAAAGGAGCCTGGGCGGGTGGCCAACCGTACGATCACCTACGTGGTCTTTTGAGGCGCCTCAGATATCAGATTTGTGGCACCTCAACAGTCGTATCAGTTTTGAGGTGCCTAAAAAACTGTCTCGGCATCCCCTGTCTATCCCTGTCTCTCGGCAGATAAAGGAGCCTGGGCGGGTGGCCAACCGTACGATCACCTACGTGGTCTTTTGAGGCGCCTCAGATATCAGATTTGTGGCACCTCAACAGTCGTATCAGTTTTGAGGTGCCTAAAAAACTGTCTCGGCATCCCCTGTCTATCCCTGTCTCTCGGCAGATAAAGGAGCCTGGGCGGGTGGCCAACCGTACGATCACCTACGTGGTCTTTTGAGGCGCCTCAGATATCGGATTTGTGGCACCTCAACAGTCGTATCAGTTTTGAGGTGCCTAAAAAACTGTCTCGGCATCCCCTGTCTATCCCTGTCTCTCGGCAGATAAAGGAGCCTGGGCGGGTGGCCAACCGTACGATCACCTACGTGGTCTTTTGAAGCGCCTCAGATATCGGATTTGTGGCACCTCAACAGTCGTATCAGTTTTGAGGTGCCTAAAAAACTGTCTCGGCATCCCCTGTCTATCCCTGTCTCTCGGCAGATAAAGGAGCCTGGGCGGGTGGCCAACCGTACAATCACCTACGTGGTCTTTTGAGGCGCCTCAGATATCGGATTTGTGGCACCTCAACAGTCGTATCAGTTTTGAGGTGCCTAAAAAGCTGTCTCGGCATCCCCTGTCTATCCCTGTCTCTCGGCAGATAAAGGAGCCTGGGCGGGTGGCCAACCGTACGATCACCTACGTGGTCTTTTGAGGCGCCTCAGATATCGGATTTGTGGCACCTCAACAGTCGTATCAGTTTTGAGGTGCCTAAAAAGCTGTCTCGGCATCCCCTGTCTATCCCTGTCTCTCGGCAGATAAAGGAGCCTGGGCGGGTGGCCAACCGTACGATCACCTACGTGGTCTTTTGAGGCGCCTCAGATATCGGATTTGTGGCACCTCAACAGTCGTATCAGTTTTGAGGTGCCTAAAAAACTGTCTCGGCATCCCCTGTCTATCCCTGTCTCTCGGCAGATAAAGGAGCCTGGGCGGGTGGCCAACCGTACGATCACCTACGTGGTCTTTTGAGGCGCCTCAGATATCGGATTTGTGGCACCTCAACAGTCGTATCAGTTTTGAGGTGCCTAAAAAACTGTCTCGGCATCCCCTGTCTATCCCTGTCTCTCGGCAGATAAAGGAGCCTGGGCGGGTGGCCAACCGTACGATCACCTACGTGGTCTTTTGAGGCGCCTCAGATATCGGATTTGTGGCACCTCAACAGTCGTATCAGTTTTGAGGTGCCTAAAAAACTGTCTCGGCATCCCCTGTCTATCCCTGTCTCTCGGCAGATAAAGGAGCCTGGGCGGGTGGCCAACCGTACGATCACCTACATGGTCTTTTGAGGCGCCTCAGATATCGGATTTGTGGCACCTCAACAGTCGTATCAGTTTTGAGGTGCCTAAAAAACTGTCTCGGCATCCCCTGTCTATCCCTGTCTCTCGGCAGATAAAGGAGCCTGGGCGGGTGGCCAACCGTACGATCACCTACGTGGTCTTTTGAGGCGCCTCAGATATCGGATTTGTGGCACCTCAACAGTCGTATCAGTTTTGAGGTGCCTAAAAAACTGTCTCGGCATCCCCTGTCTATCCCTGTCTCTCGGCAGATAAAGGAGCCTGGGCGGGTGGCCAACCGTACGATCACCTACGTGGTCTTTTGAGGCGCCTCAGATATCGGATTTGTGGCACCTCAACAGTCGTATCAGTTTTGAGGTGCCTAAAAAACTGTCTCGGCATCCCCTGTCTATCCCTGTCTCTCGGCAGATAAAGGAGCCTGGGCGGGTGGCCAACCGTACGATCACCTACGTGGTCTTTTGAGGCGCCTCAGATATCGGATTTGTGGCACCTCAACAGTCGTATCAGTTTTGAGGTGCCTAAAAAACTGTCTCGGCATCCCCTGTCTATCCCTGTCTCTCGGCAGATAAAGGAGCCTGGGCGGGTGGCCAACCGTACGATCACCTACGTGGTCTTTTGAGGCGCCTCAGATATCGGATTTGTGGCACCTCAACAGTCGTATCAGTTTTGAGGTGCCTAAAAAACTGTCTCGGCATCCCCTGTCTATCCCTGTCTCTCGGCAGATAAAGGAGCCTGGGCGGGTGGCCAACCGTACGATCACCTACGTGGTCTTTTGAGGCGCCTCAGATATCGGATTTGTGGCACCTCAACAGTCGTATCAGTTTTGAGGTGCCTAAAAAACTGTCTCGGCATCCCCTGTCTATCCCTGTCTCTCGGCAGATAAAGGAGCCTGGGCGGGTGGCCAACCGTACGATCACCTACGTGGTCTTTTGAGGCGCCTCAGATATCGGATTTGTGGCACCTCAACAGTCGTATCAGTTTTGAGGTGCCTAAAAAACTGTCTCGGCATCCCCTGTCTATCCCTGTCTCTCGGCAGATAAAGGAGCCTGGGCGGGTGGCCAACCGTACGATCACCTACGTGGTCTTTTGAGGCGCCTCAGATATCGGATATGTGGCACCTCAACAGTCGTATCAGTTTTGAGGTGCCTAAAAAACTGTCTCGGCATCCCCTGTCTATCCCTGTCTCTCGGCAGATAAAGGAGCCTGGGCGGGTGGCCAACCGTACGATCACCTACGTGGTCTTTTGAGGCGCCTCAGATATCGGATTTGTGGCACCTCAACAGTCGTATCAGTTTTGAGGTGCCTAAAAAACTGTCTCGGCATCCCCTGTCTATCCCTGTCTCTCGGCAGATAAAGGAGCCTGGGCGGGTGGCCAACCGTACGATCACCTACGTGGTCTTTTGAGGCGCCTCAGATATCGGATTTGTGGCACCTCAACAGTCGTATCAGTTTTGAGGTGCCTAAAAAACTGTCTCGGCATCCCCTGTCTATCCCTGTCTCTCGGCAGATAAAGGAGCCTGGGCGGGTGGCCAACCGTACGATCACCTACGTGGTCTTTTGAGGCGCCTCAGATATCGGATTTGTGGCACCTCAACAGTCGTATCAGTTTTGAGGTGCCTAAAAAACTGTCTCGGCATCCCCTGTCTATCCCTGTCTCTCGGCAGATAAAGGAGCCTGGGCGGGTGGCCAACCGTACGATCACCTACGTGGTCTTTTGAGGCGCCTCAGATATCGGATTTGTGGCACCTCAACAGTCGTATCAGTTTTGAGGTGCCTAAAAAACTGTCTCGGCATCCCCTGTCTATCCCTGTCTCTCGGCAGATAAAGGAGCCTGGGCGGGTGGCCAACCGTACGATCACCTACGTGGTCTTTTGAGGCGCCTCAGATATCGGATTTGTGGCACCTCAACAGTCGTATCAGTTTTGAGGTGCCTAAAAAACTGTCTCGGCATCCCCTGTCTATCCCTGTCTCTCGGCAGATAAAGGAGCCTGGGCGGGTGGCCAACCGTACGATCACCTACGTGGTCTTTTGAGGCGCCTCAGATATCGGATATGTGGCACCTCAACAGTCGTATCAGTTTTGAGGTGCCTAAAAAACTGTCTCGGCATCCCCTGTCTATCCCTGTCTCTCGGCAGATAAAGGAGCCTGGGCGGGTGGCCAACCGTACGATCACCTACGTGGTCTTTTGAGGCGCCTCAGATATCGGATTTGTGGCACCTCAACAGTCGTATCAGTTTTGAGGTGCCTAAAAAACTGTCTCGGCATCCCCTGTCTATCCCTGTCTCTCGGCAGATAAAGGAGCCTGGGCGGGTGGCCAACCGTACGATCACCTACGTGGTCTTTTGAGGCGCCTCAGATATCGGATTTGTGGCACCTCAACAGTCGTATCAGTTTTGAGGTGCCTAAAAAACTGTCTCGGCATCCCCTGTCTATCCCTGTCTCTCGGCAGATAAAGGAGCCTGGGCGGGTGGCCAACCGTACGATCACCTACGTGGTCTTTTGAAGCGCCTCAGATATCGGATTTGTGGCACCTCAACAGTCGTATCAGTTTTGAGGTGCCTAAAAAACTGTCTCGGCATCCCCTGTCTATCCCTGTCTCTCGGCAGATAAAGGAGCCTGGGCGGGTGGCCAACCGTACGATCACCTACGTGGTCTTTTGAGGCGCCTCAGATATCGGATTTGTGGCACCTCAACAGTCGTATCAGTTTTGAGGTGCCTAAAAATCTGTCTCGGCATCCCCTGTCTATCCCTGTCTCTCGGCAGATAAAGGAGCCTGGGCGGGTGGCCAACCGTACGATCACCTACGTGGTCTTTTGAAGCGCCTCAGATATCGGATTTGTGGCACCTCAACAGTCGTATCAGTTTTGAGGTGCCTAAAAAACTGTCTCGGCATCCCCTGTCTATCCCTGTCTCTCGGCAGATAAAGGAGCCTGGGCGGGTGGCCAACCGTACGATCACCTACGTGGTCTTTTGAGGCGCCTCAGATATCGGATTTGTGGCACCTCAACAGTCGTATCAGTTTTGAGGTGCCTAAAAAACTGTCTCGGCATCCCCTGTCTATCCCTGTCTCTCGGCAGATAAAGGAGCCTGGGCGGGTGGCCAACCGTACGATCACCTACGTGGTCTTTTGAGGCGCCTCAGATATCGGATTTGTGGCACCTCAACAGTCGTATCAGTTTTGAGGTGCCTAAAAAACTGTCTCGGCATCCCCTGTCTATCCCTGTCTCTCGGCAGATAAAGGAGCCTGGGCGGGTGGCCAACCGTACGATCATCTACGTGGTCTTTTGAGGCGCCTCAGATATCGGATTTGTGGCACCTCAACAGTCGTATCAGTTTTGAGGTGCCTAAAAAACTGTCTCGGCATCCCCTGTCTATCCCTGTCTCTCGGCAGATAAAGGATCCTGGGCGGGTGGCCAACCGTACGATCACCTACGTGGTCTTTTGAGGCGCCTCAGATATCGGATTTGTGGCACCTCAACAGTCGTATCAGTTTTGAGGTGCCTAAAAAACTGTCTCGGCATCCCCTGTCTATCCCTGTCTCTCGGCAGATAAAGGAGCCTGGGCGGGTGGCCAACCGTACGATCACCTACGTGGTCTTTTGAAGCGCCTCAGATATCGGATTTGTGGCACCTCAACAGTCGTATCAGTTTTGAGGTGCCTAAAAAACTGTCTCGGCATCCCCTGTCTATCCCTGTCTCTCGGCAGATAAAGGAGCCTGGGCGGGTGGCCAACCGTACGATCACCTACGTGGTCTTTTGAGGCGCCTCAGATATCGGATTTGTGGCACCTCAACAGTCGTATCAGTTTTGAGGTGCCTAAAAAACTGTCTCGGCATCCCCTGTCTATCCCTGTCTCTCGGCAGATAAAGGAGCCTGGGCGGGTGGCCAGCCGTTGTGGACTTCCCTCCCCTGCAGCAGCAGCAGCAGCAGCAGCAGCAGCAGCAGCACGGGGCAATCTGACCTACCGCACCATCTCTGAATCCACTCTCCCTCTGCTGTCATCACCTGTCTCTCTTCTTCTCCTTGCTCTCAACAGATTAAGGAGCCTGGGCGGGTGGCTAACCGCACAATAACCTATGTGGACTTCCCTCCCCTGCAGCAGCACCCGACCTCCTTCTTCGCTCCCAACATCACAGAGGATCTCTTTCAAAACATCACGGTGAGTAGTTGGGCGTGTGTGGATGTGTGGGTTTGGGGAGGAGAGAAAAGGCTGGAAGAGGGGGGGAACATGCGTGAGTGGAGAGCTTTTCTCCCTGGAGCAGCACCCGACCTCCTTCTTCGCTCCCAACATCACAGAGGACCTCTTTCAGAACATCACAGTGAGTTGGGATGGCGTGTGCTGGGCGTGTGCTGGGCATGTGTTGGGCGTGTGTAGGTGTGTACAAGGAATCAGCAGCACCCCACGTCCTTCCGCCCTCCCAGCATCACTGAGGACCTCTTTCAGAACATCACAGTGAGTAGGGGAGTAGGAGGATGTGTGTTTTTCTGTGGGTGCATGTGGGTGTGTGGTTGGTTGCATGCATGGGAGTGGTTGCGTGCGAGTGTGTGGTGGTGGGGAAGAGGGGGGGGGAAAGAATGTGCATGAATGCACGGATCAGTGGGCATTTTGTGATACGTTCTAATGACCAATTAGTTATGTTAGGGGCACACAAGGGCGTGCTAGCGTGTGTGCGATCGTGTGAATGCCATGCTAGCTGGCCCAATCGAACCCCAAACAGGAGTCATGGTCGACTTTTGAGTCGACTCAAAAGTCAACAGGGCGTGCTAGCGTGTGTGCGATCGTGTGAATGCCGTGCTAGCTGGCTCTAAACGTACCCCAGCCATGCTTCATCTAATCCATGCCCCAATGTGTTTGCTTCGTTTTGTAATGTTTGGGGCACACAGGGCCGTGCTAGCGTGTGTGCCATCGTGTGAATGCCATGCTAGCTAGTTCCAAACTCACCTCAGCCGCGATTCATCTAATCCATGCCCCAATGCGCTTGCTCTTCCTTATGTATTTTCTCTACATTTAATCATGAGGCCTTACTGTCTCTTCGTGCTCTCACGCCGACCTGTTTTTGTGTGCTCTCATGCTGTCGCATCTCTCTCCATGCCCCTTTGCCTTCCCCGTGTCTTGTCTCTCCCATGCTTCAGAAGGCCCTTGACTCATGGTTCTCTCTTGAGGCGCCTTAAGCTTTCGAGGCGCCGCATTACTCATCCATGCCCCACATGTTTCCTTGTCTATTTTCTCATCTTGCCTCTCCCAGGCTTCAGAAGGCCCTCGACTACAGTCTCTTGAGGCGCCGCAAACCTTTTGAAGCGCCTCAAACCTTTTGAGGGCAAAAATCATCCATGCCCCATGTGCTTCCTTGTGTAATTTCTCGTATTGCCTCTCCCATGCCACATAAGCCCCGTGACTACAGCCCCATCAACGTGGTTGTGAGAGTTGGCTCTATACTCACTTCGGCTGCCCCCCATCCATGCCCTCGTGTGCTTCCTTGTCTATTTCCTCGTATTGCCTCTCCCATGCCACAGAAGCCCCTTCACTACAGCCCCATCAACGTGGTTGTGAGTCTCCTTCTCAAATTTTGAGATGCCTCAAAATCCCTGTCCGCGCCCCATGGGTGCTTTGTGTGTTGTCTGTCTCTGTACGTGCCCCGTGTGCGTCCATGTGCATTGTCTCTCCCATGCTCCAGGAGCCCCTAGACTACAGTCTAATCAACGTGGTTGTGAGTCTCCCTCTGCTCTTGACCTTTGCCTCTTATCCTCTTATCATCTTATCCTCTTAGCCTCTCATCCTCTCTACAGTCACTCTCCCATGCTACAGTCTCATCAACGTGGTTGTGAGTCTCCTTTTGCTCTTAAGCTTCACCTTAGCCTCTCAGCCTCTTGTTTTCTTTTCCTCTTAGACTCTTAGCCTCTTAGCTTCTGCCCTTATCTCTGCCTCTCTACAGTCACTCTCGCCCTCCGAGCATCACTATTTCTGAGGCGCCCCAAAAAATGTCGTCTCACTATAGCTGTTTTGCCCCTATTACACTTCACAATCATTTCCCCAGCACCATATACTGGAAGTTTTCAAAGTGCAGTGTTTTCGTTAAATGTATCGAAATCCAGGCCTATTCCACACCCCTGCAGTTGGCGTGCAATCGGCACAAGTGGCTTAACAAGCATGTGTTCCCTCTCTCCTTCCTTTGCCCCGTGCTGTGCTCGTTAACCCGTCTCTCCACCATTTTCCCCGCTGGACCACCTATATCAGGAGCATCGAGAAAAGATTCCCCAAAGTGTAAGTGTTCATTGTGGGGGGGGGGGGGGAGTAAGGTGGGGGGAAGGGGGCGAGGTGGGAGAGAAGGGGAGGGTGTGGGTGGGGAGAGAGGTGGGGAGGGGAGAAGGAACAAATGGTGGAGTGTGGGAGGAATCAAGGGGGGTTGAAGAGGTAAGAAGAGGAATACCGTAGTAGGCAACATGAGGAGCAGCGCAGGGGGATTGGGCTGGTAGGGAGAGGGAGTGAGGGAGACGGATGCAGAGGTGTTTGCTGAGGTTTATACAGGGGGAGTGGAAGAAAGGGCCGAGACAAGACACTAAACTTCTGTTTCCCTGAATAACATATATTTTCTCCATCCTTGACTGTTGCCTCGACTGCAGGCATACACGCTACCGTGCTCTTTAAATGGAAAGAAGCGCACCTGCTTCTTATTTGCGCGGAAATTTCCACCCAGTGCACTCCCTGCCCTGCTATCTCTTTCGGAAGACATTTTGGGGTACTGACGGCCACTTAGGGCCCAGCAAGCATCAGTGCAGTGAAAGTTGCTGAATATTGTATGTTTTGAAGTTCAACTGCTTCCTAAAGCATAAGAATGTCTTCCAATGCAGCACTGAAATGAAAACACCTAGTTTGCCAAAACTCAATTACTGTCGATTTAGGGGGATTTATCTTTTAGAAACAAGATGAAGTCGGTATTGTATAGTGCAACATTCGTCTGCCACCCTGCAGCCCCATGTGTGCAGATGCAGGCACTGTAAACCAACCTTCCAGCTCATCGGTCACAGGCTTGTGGTCAACAGCTACGAGGCGCAGTTGGATCACCAGCCACCAATCAGCACAATTCGCGCTTCTCAAGAGTTTATTCGTCAACCCATGTTAATTATGGTAGCTTCGCACTTTACTCCAGTGCAGTCTCCGAAACCAAGCACGGCATGCAATGCAACGTCAGGGACGTGCGACAAAGTGTGCCACCGTGGTGGAATGAAGGAAACTCTTTGGACTATCGGGCACAAAAGTGACCTTGTTTCCTTGATTCAAGGAGAAGTCAGAGGGGTACACCTCGAGTGTGGAAATCGGAGGGTAGCCTCACATACAAGCGACACTGCTTATCGCCAGATCGTGGGACGGCCGCAAGTCAAGCCTACCGTGTTCCATTATCAAAGGCAACCCTGGAAAATCGCTCGACGAATACGGAAACAACCCAGGGTAGCGATCCGCCCAGGTCCATGGAAGCTTCAACAGCTGCGCTGCTGGGTCCGTCGTGATGCCGTGTCGCACTCACTTATCCGCGATCCGTGCCGACGTGCGAATTGCGCACTGGAATGAAACGATTTCGTCCATTCATGCGATGCGACGTGGGTTGGGAACCCTTGGGATCATGCCTCAGTTGACCAATTCGAGGTCGTAACAATGCGTTACGCCAATGCTTTCACCCAATCCACGCCCTTCCGCTCCGCTACAGAACTGCTTCGCCGAGCCTCGTTCCGCAGTGTCGCAGCCGTACGAGGGATCGTGCACAAGAGAAATTCCTTCGCACATTCGTGTCCCAGCGTCGCCTTTGTTGGGCTGCACTGGAAGCAGCCGTCCGCGCCGCTCCCCCCCACCTCCTGTTTCTCCCAGATCCCATGAGCATCATCTTCCATTCATTTCGAAGTCCGCCATTCAGCAACTCGTTTGGCTGCCTGCGTAGAAACCAAGTTAAATTTATCCCGAGACTTTCCGTTCCGCCGTTTCTCATTGGTGTTGTCACGATCAATCGAGAGAGCTGCTTGCGAAAGAGTTTTAACAATCCGCAGCTAACAACTTAGAGGCAGCTACAACTTTGGTCAGCCGTAACCGGGTCCCGTAGGTCACGCGATATCGACTTGAAAGGGGCTAGATCTGACCATCGTGCGACTCCCAGCATGTGGGGGTCAGAACTTCACTGTCGCTTCCTATAGGCTGGTAACCATATCGTTCGCGGAACAAGTCGCAAGTCGCTCTGATCGCTTCGTCGGTCGCGTCAATTCGTTATTAGCGTCAACCGCGACTGTGCGCCCGCCACGGTTGATCGCAAACTTTACCGTTCAGTCTCCGACAATGGCAGCGTTTCTTCATGCAGTCAAGTCGCAGGGGCTCGCCACGCGAATGATAATTTTCGCCAGCCCTGTCGCCATCGTCGTCCTCATCTTCCTCGCCTACCTCGCAGCGTCGCCCACCAGTAATCCTGCAGAGCTGGCGATCGGCGACGCGGACCTGCTGACGTCAATCGTCGGCGGCAAATCCGCGTCTCGCGTGATCATTGAATCCGACGGTATGGATGATTCCGAAGGTCTACGCGTCGCCGTGCAACCTATTAGCATTCTTCAACTGCGTGGTGCGAATCCAAATACGATTTCTGCGGGGCCGGCTGTCGGCAGCAGAAGCAAGAAAAGCGATGGAAGCTTGCTCAAGGGAGCTGGAAGGAGTTCCCAGAGCAGCAAGAGTGACGGGAGAAGCAGATTGGCCGGGAGCGCGGCCGCGAGTAGCGAAACTGCCACGGGAAGCTTCCTCCCGCAGATGAACAAAGCGGCTCTCGCCGTGAGATTGAGATTGGGCACTGAGGAGATCCCTGCAGAGGCTACGAACGGCGGAAGTGGGGAGGGGTTAAGGGCAAAGACCGAGAAGGAAACGGGGGCAGGCAGGAAGAGTGACGGAGGTAATGCGGAGGCGGACGCGGATGCGGAGGCGGAAGGAGATGCGGAGGCGGAGGCGGAGGAGGTGGACGACGAGCAGCGGGGGCTGCCGGCGGAGGTGCTGGCGAAAGAGCGCAAGCTTGCGCGTGCGCGAAAGTCAAGATCCGCCACCTCGCGGAAGGCCGTAAAGGTCACTGATGGTAACACAGTGGACGAGATTGGCGAAGAGGACGACGAAGCAGAAACGGAGGAGGAGGCGGAAATGTTGAATGCGGAAAATGAAAAGGGATCCGACGCCACTGCCGCAGCCAACAAAACTAGCGAGGAGGAGGACGTGTTTCGCGAGCTGAAGCTTTCGCCGGAAGACGAGGCGACGCTTCGCTATCTTCGCAAAACGCGCGTGGAGCGCGAGAAGGCGGCAAGCCGCGTGAAGCACAAGTACCGCAAAGTGGCGTTCATGTTCCTCACCAAGGGCCCCATCCCGCACGCCAAGCTGTGGGAGCGGTACTTCAAGGTGAGGATCAAGATGCCGCGTATTCCTCGAGGTAGAGTTGTAACTTCCTCGTAGTTTTGTGGCGCTGCAAGTGGCGTTGATGTTCTTTACCTATTACGGGCTCACCCCGCGCGCCGTTCCGTGAATTGCTGTGCGTATTGGCTGCAGTTCCCTGCTTTTCTCCTAAAGTATTAGTAGGTCATTGCCAGCCTTGAGCGTTCTCCGTGCCACATCGCCGCTCCCTCCCCCCCTCCCTCCCCTTTCCCCCTCCCCTTTCCCCTCCCCTTTCCCCCCTCTCAATCCTCCCCCACGCCATCCCCCGCCCTCCCCCTTCCCCCCGCCACCCCCCCCCCCCCCCCCTCTCCCTCCTCACCCTCACTGCTCCACCGTTCTAATATTTTTTAATATATCTCTCTCCCTGCCATTCCCTGCGTTTGTGTCATTCTTTCGCCACGTGCCACTATCGAAGGGTCACGAGGGAAGCTACTCCATCTACGTGCACACGGCGCCCGGCTACGAATTCCCCAAGAATGCCTCCGCGCTCTTCCGCAACAACACCATCCGCAGCGAAGCGGTGAGTCTCCAAAAGCACCATCTCGTAACCCGCTCCACCGTGCTGCAGATTCCGGGAGTTCTCAGCATGGCCCTCAGCTTATCCTCAGCACGTTTACCCTTAGCTTATATAACCCACTTTCCATTTCCGGAGTATACTTCTCAACTCACCCTCGTTTTTTCAGTGGGGAGTGAAATTCCATACAGCAGCATACCGCATTCTGTCCACTCGGTTGTCGGTTTGAGATATACCAACCGTTTTCGCATTCCGATTTCCTTACCCCTCCTCCCTCTCGCAGGTGTCGTGGGGGTCGCCGACAATGATCGACGCCGAACGACGGCTGATTGCCGCGGCGCTCAAGGACCCAGCCAATCACAATTTCGTGCTCATCTCCGAGTCGTAAGTGCCACTTGTTGCTAGCTTCGCTACCGGTTTTCGTCCCACCCTCCTGTTTTACGAATGTATCTCCCATCCCTCCTCACTTGAGAGCACCCATTCGTTATGAATCGATCCTACTTTCGCTGACACTCATCCTCCTCCCTCCACATCCCTCTCCTGCCTTGCAGTTGCATTCCCGTTAAGAGCCTAAAATTTACGTGGAGATATCTTCTCGGAACTGACTACAGCTTTGTTTCAAGGTAAACTGGATAATATGTTTTCATCACATTTCATATTTGTTGAAGTTCTTGATAAGCGTGTTAATATGGAGTCATAACCCACCATACGTTGTTTCCTTCTTTTTGTACATACCTTGATTTTTTCTCTCTCTGTAACAGCTTCACTACAGACAGATACGTGAATACGGGACGGCATGATGAACGCATGGCTCCATTGATTCCAATTGAAAAGTGGAGAAAAGCGTCTCAGGTGAACCTTGAACTGATGAGTTGCTTGATTTTTCATTGGTGGTTCCCGAGAACAAGTTTTTACACGAATTTGCTGATTCCGTTACTCAAATAACCCTCCTCGTTTGTCCTCGTTATGCAGTGGTTCTCGGTTACACGGAAGCACGCAAACATTATAATCAATGACATCGATGTGCACAAGCTCTTTCAAATCTACTGCAGGGTATGTATCTTGACATTCCATGGTTGACTATGGCTTTTCCTGGTACAAGACTTTCGAAGCTGCCTTTTGTTTTCCTCACAACATTTGTAACCCCCTTATTCGACCTGCTGATCATTTAGTCACAGTTCTCATGCAATCTGTCCCGATGTTGTGGTGATTGTATACTCATTACAGGGTGACATCCAACATCACGAGTGCTACTCAGACGAGCACTACATCCCAACTCTCCTCAATGTGAGTATTACAGCTCTAGTTCCTTTTGGTCCAGGCTCCATCTGAGGCAGGCTGCATCTGAGGCAGGCAGGCTGCATCTGAGTCAGGCAGGCTGCATCTGAGGCAGGCAGGCTGCATCTGAGGCAGGCTGCATCTGAGGCAGGCTGCATCTGAGACAGGCTTCAACAGAGACTGGCTTCACCCGTTATCAACCAGCCAACCCCAGCGTTCTTTTCTTCATTCCGAGGCGGGGAAGAAGATCCCGCACTGTCTGACCAGTCGCACAACTACCTGTGTCAGCTCCCTTACAAATTCCGTGCATCCATTCTTCCTCCTCCATTGTCTGACACCCCCACCCAGGCTATTTGGCCACTCGCTCTATCACCTATGCCAGCATCCTTACAAACTTTGTTCATCCACACTTTCTCTGCTGTCTCTTCTTCCCCTCTTTCTCCCCTTTCCACAGTTGAAGGACCCCGGCAATCTCGCCAATCGCACCATCACCTATGTCGATTTCCCACTCAACTCGGCTCACCCACGCACCTTCGATCCCTTCCTCACTCGACCCAGCCTCATTCGCTACATCACTGTATGTACATAGCTACAGCAGTGTAGATATGTATGTGTATATAGTCATGTCTATGCATGTACACTACTTCTTTTTCTGCATCACAGTTTCAGGATTTTCTTTATGTTGCATTCCCTCATCGCCCTCTTTTCTGCATCTCCCTGTTTCCTACATGTGCATCATCCCTCCTTCAGAAGCCGCGAATGTACATGCATCGCAACGTTGTGGTGAGTTCCTCAATTATCCATCCATGACCAGCCTTGTTATACACGTTTCTACCTTTCAAATCAGCACCTGGCTTGTTTTGATTTTTCCATCCACAACCACCACAGCACACAAGTGCTATAGCTGTGTCAATAACCCTGTGTATATTTATTTCCATGTCCTCATTACCTCTCCCCTCCCCTCTCTGACTTCCTCTGCCTACACAGGAACCTGATGATGAAACCCCACAAAGCGTGAGTAACCCACCCTTTTCCCACACGCCCTTGGTCTGATCTCTGTCACCTACACACCCATTTCTAAATCAACTCAAAGATTCCCACTTGCCCTTTGGGTACATTCGTGGCCCGTGTCAGACTTCAGGTCAAAAGCCCTTAGTCTCCAATTTGGCTCATCCGAACTCGGATTTGCCTCACAATCAAGCCACTTCGGGTCTTCCGAGCCTCCACTTCGGGTCTGACCTGATGTCTGACACGGGCCACGAATGTACCCTTAGTCCTACACTCATCTATTCCTCTTCTTTCTCTCCCTTTGTTTCTCTGTTGTCACCTTTTGTTGTCACCTGATTTTCATTGCACCCCTGTAGTTTCGTTGCACACTGTTCACACCACGTCAAATACAGCTGATCACCTCTCACTCCTCTTTCCTCATGCATCCTACCCCTCCTCTCTATCTCAATTGCAGTCCTACACTCTCCCGTGCTCCAAGGATGGAGAGAACCGCACCTGCTTCTTGTTTGCAAGAAAGTTCCACCCCACTGCCCTGCCTCAGCTGCTGGACCTGCCGACTAAGATTCTTGGCTATTAGTTGAGAACCAGAACCCAGCACACGGAGCCTCACCTTGGACTTGTGTGTCTACCAGCCCTGCTGCTGTAAGGTAGCAGGGAGTAGCGTACCCTATCTTTATATGACTATACGGGCAAAGCATGTATTTGGGTTTGTGAGGTGAATAAGATGGTTTCGTAGATGACAGCTGGTCATCAAGTGGTCGTACTGCCATTTTACCCTGATGCTTGGGAACCAATTGGATCTTTTGCATCTTGAATGGTGGAATGGTTAGTCTGAGCATGGCAAATTGGATTTGCAACTGCAAGCACCGTCCCACACATTTTTGCTGCTCGAATGAGGTCAGGGTTGGGAGAGATTGTGGCAGAGGGGCCGATTCCTTCGATTTCGAGGTTCTGCATTCGAACGGACACGAAGAAGTCGAGAAAACCAATGCGGCCGTGTTCTGCAGGCGCATCAGCTCTGATGCGCCGGAGGCTCGGACAGATGCGCACATTGGAAATCGAGGTTCGGAAATGGCGAAATTGAAATTGCGAATTTTAGGTTCGGACATGTCGAATTGAGGCTTGGAAAATTTGACGAAATTTAAAGCGACGGGCAACTTTTGGCAGTGTTGGGTTCAGAAGTTTTTTTTTTTGAACCAGGCTTGCCAGCGCGAAAGTGCTGGCTGACGAAAACCAGGATTTCGTGCGGACACTTTCCATCCGCAGTAACAGTTCGCCAGGGTTCTGGGTTTTGGGTGGCAAATGTGCACCGTCGCTTTAATTGAGGTCAGGAAATTGGACATTCAATTTCCTGGCGAATTTCAACATTTCGAATTTTCCAGGTTTCTGGGAAGTGATGTCGCTGAATTTCGGAGGTGCCAAAACCATTGGCCAACGAGGTTGCAGTAATTTTTCGAATTTGCCTGATGCGCGCATGAATCCACTTTTCGAAGTTGCATGATGCGCGCATTTCAAATGCGCCCGATTGCTAGGATGAGAAACATCCGAGAACGTGGCGACATAGGAAATTCTGGTCGCCAAAAAGGCCATTCTGCATTCATTCTGGTTTGGTCTGCCTCGGCTCTGATGCTCTTATCGCGAGCCTTGATAACCTGTCAGCAGGTTATCAACGAAGGATCTTGGAACCCCGGGAAATTGCATCAATGTACATTGATGCGGCCGGATGCGCCTGCAGAGCAAGGCCCAGTTCGGTAGGCATTATGGCCATTTTCGCCATTATGGGCATTTTTAACGGGCCCCCAAAAAATGGCGCTTGGGCATTTCCAGAAACAACGTCGAAACTGGACTGTAGCTGCACTGCACCTTCGGGAAAATGGCATTAATTGGCATTAATTGGGTGTAGATTGATGGCATCAATCGAGATTCCAGGTTTCGCAGAAGGTGCTCGAAAGTTGCCTTGATGGATCGTGTCCTCATGTGATTGGCTGGCATATTTGACCAGTCACTTTTTATTGCCCCGAATCACTGATACCCCGCATGGTGCGGGGCCTCGAGGCCGCATGGTGCGGCGGATCAGAAAATGGGCACTTTGCCAGAGAAACTGGGTTCGTGGAAGATTCGGGCAGTTGAAAACGCCTGCAAGAAAAGGGGTGTTCGGGAGGCATTCCTTATTGTCTGGTTCGGCGATGATCCGCTTAAATCGAGCCAAGATAACCCTTCACGCGCTTATCAAAGAAGGTTCCAGGGTGGTCGGTTTACTGTAGCCCATCCGCCGAGGCCCTTTTTTTAATGCCTACCGAACTGGGCCCAAGGCCTGTTGTAAATTCTCCAGCATTCGGAGAATGTGCCGTTGGGAGTTGCTGTTGAATTATATTGCATATCCTAACTGCCTACAGCTTGCTAGTGTATTAGTTAGTTATTAGGTTCAACTGCTGGTGGTGTACCCTATCCTCTCCCCTATCCTATATCTTGTAAACATTCCTTAGTGAATCCCCTCTTTGCCCAATTCTCTTGCCATGCTCACTCTCGACACTCACGCTTTCTAGGTAAACCCTAAGTTACTAAGTCAAGAGTTAAGAGCGTATTCTGACAGTTGCATGGTTACCCTCACGACTGACTTCGGTTTCGTGCACAGAAATGCTCCCGCGGGATGGGCCGTTTCGGTGATCACGTTCGCGTAATGCAGTTCGACTCAAACAATAATCAGTTTGCGGATGAATGATGGCGAAGGCTGCGACATCATAATCTGTTTTGCGAGATGGAGCAAACTGTCAAATAGTACTTAGGAGATTAGGAGCTTGGAGGGAGAGAGTAGCATAGCGAGATGGATATCGAGGGAGTTTGGGTTGGCCAAAGAGGTTCAATAATGAGAAACAGTACAAGGATATAGGCAAGGAAAAGAGAGGGTACACCACCAACAGTTGATGCTAATAACTAAACTAGTACACTAGCTAGCTGTAGGCAGTTATAAGATATGCAATATAATTCAACACACCCCCGTAACTGCCTACGGCTGTAGCTAGTGGTGTCTGGCACCAGGTCGCCTGGAGAGCGGTTGCTGTAGCTGGGATAGGCACAGAAACAGCGGTGGCTGACCGGCAG